GCACTCACTGATCAYCAACATCGTCCAACAAACACCTATGACACATCATCAGACTCGACCCATCAAGAAGAAGCGATACATATTATATTCATTGTCGTTGGAGTTAGCTACATCAACTTGTAGAATCGACATCCAACTACACAGGTAACCAAAACCTTGKACCGATCGTCGCACCTCTACTTTTAACAATAACTAATACCAATCAAGATAATAGTATAGTAATACTCAACACATCAAGATGAAGCGATCTATATATTATACWTCACTGTTGAAGTGATTCATAGGAATTATAGTCTCGGACAGCAATGAAACAACGWCCAATTACAGCTCACTTGGATCATCGCACACCAACCAAGGACCAACATCATCCAACAACTCCTATGATACTCCAACAGRCTCGACTCATCAAGATGAAGCGATATATACCACATTCATTACCGTCATCGTAATCTACATCAACGTGGATCATCAAMATCAACTTGCTCTAATGCAACGTCGCACACCTACTGCTGACCAACATCGTCCAAAATTCACCTATTATACACCAACATACTCAACTCACCAAGATGAATCGATGCATAACACATTCATTGCCTTTAAACCAATCTACTAGTGCTTGGACCAAAGATATTCAGCTCCTGCTGAATACACCAGAACCTGCCAACAACAAACAAAGTTCACCTATTATACATCACCAGACTCGGCTCATCAAGATAAAACGATGCATACTACATTCATTGCTGCTACTGGAGTAATCTACATCAATCTGGATCATCCCTAAAGGCCAAACCATAAATAAATGCTCTCCCATCGTATTGTCACACCTACAAATACCTTGCACAGTGCTGATTCGAAACCATTATCATTTCAATCATACTTATAATAAATACATATACATTCAACTTACATACACACATATATACATTATATACTAAGTTAACAGACTCTTGCGACCATGCTACATGACACCAGTTGGTGTATTWTAATTATTATATTATGAGGATGGAGGCGTCATTCATTCATTCATTCAGTTTGATGTCGGTTGGAGGCAATGTTTCGCTGGCCATGAAGGTGTTTGTTGATAATATTGCTCAAGCTAGTCTAGACTCCATCACACAATTGCCACCTTACTGTTGTTGCGCTTCTGGCGACCCGACTGAAGTTGCGTGACGAGATCATACATAATTAWATGACAAGGAGAGGACAAACACCTGCTCAAGTTCTTCTGGAGATGGGCAAACTATTATACGCCACTGCCATTCTGGACACCTTCCTCGTGGACGATGCCCAAGCACCCAAATGTGGAGACCCGGCGACTATCATAACAAGTTCATCATATAAATTCACTTACCTGGACGAGCTGGATTATCAATTTTATTATCGATCTTGGACAACACATGACGATAGGTCGCATCCTTCATCGATAGCCTGTGGCAAGACAAGTCATAGGTGTACGGATGGAACATCAAGGCGACACTTGACATCTCCACAAAGTCTCGTCACCCGCCAACCCTCTATCGAACTGATATCTTTGTCGTTGGTAAGACGTGATCACACATACACTCATCTCATCGCGCTAACTGTCTGACTGACAGACTAACACTGTATCTATACAGAACGGCTGGATATGAATAGAAACGAAGAAGATCTCAAAGAGGAACACATGCATTTCTGGAAAAGTCGATGTGTGGACGTACTCCACAAAGTCATCGACACAGCACTGGTAAAGTCTCTGGATATGTCTCGCTGTTGGCATCCCTCCATCCATGATTAGGCTCATCGGATGCACCTCCCCGCCCTCAGACCGCGTGTGCAAGACGTTCGCCAATCTAGGCGCCGTGGCGATCAACAAGATTGGCACACCGACCACGCCAAACTACGCCATGATCAGTCGAAAGGGATGGCTGGAGGGCCGAGCCATCGAGGCACTTGGCGACCCCAACGTCAGCCCTGTATCTGTCAAGAGTGATATCTTCGACCTCGAGCCTGAAGACGACGACGACGATGGCATCATCCCGTCGGATGACGTAGTGCAACCCTTAAGTCCTGCATTGCCGCCCCACGCAACACCAGAGGGGCTAATGGGCCTGAGCGATTTTGTTATCGTCAAGCTTCTGCCACCGTTTCTTACGGATGACATTGACGTGGCAGTCCTCAGTCTCACGTGCAGACGCTACTATGACCTCCTTGGCAGACGCTGGCGTCTGTCAGAGCTGCGCTGGAGCACGCCTGGTCATGTGCCCGATGGCCTTTCCCCGACACAGCTCACATTCACATCGAAGCCAAAGGCACCCCCTGCAGCCAGGCGACATCCCACCGACAATCACGCGACTTTCATTCGAGGAGACTTTCAACCTGCACAGAATACTGCGGCCTGGTGTGCTTCCTCACTCAATCACGGATCTCTCGCTGGGCAGCACTGCGCTCCCTGTGCGGCCGGGCATACTTCCCAGCTCCCTCACCAGACTGACCACTGGTGCATCTAGCGTGGTGGCTGGCTCCTGGCCGTCGACACTTAGCACACTCGTCCTACACAGTGGCAAACCGCTTGGCTCGCTCCATCTCCCAGGCTCACTCACTCGACTGGAGCTTTACATGACCAATCAAGATATCGAGCCAGGGTTGCTGCCCAACTCGATCACACACCTATCTCTCATTGACAAATACTATGGAGTGGCGGATGCTGCTGGAGCAGACGGTGATGGTGAAGATAATTCGACCGTCTTCACCGACTTTCGGCCTAACGCGTTTCCCACTTCACTCAAGACCTTGATCTTCGACTGGGCCATTCGCCAGCCGGTGCTCTGCCGGCCTCCATCAAGGACCTGACATTCCTCCGCTGCATTGAGTCCATTCCTGCAGGATCATTGCCGCCATCGCTCACCAAACTGTCAATCAACAAAGGAAAACAGGATCGATTGCTACCTGGTTCTCTGCCCCAATCAATCACCTGCCTGGAGCTGCGTCAAACATCCATAAGAGACATCAGGCTCAACCTTCTTCCCCAATCTCTCACCAGTCTCAGCCTCGACAGCACTCCCATTGAGCACCTCACGGTTCCCCTCGATCCCTTGCCCCAAACACTTATGAGGCTAAAGTCTGGCAACCTGCCCTGGCACACTCTTGCACGTGACAGCTTGCTGTCACTCACTGACCTGACGTTCGACCCGCGATCCCTGCGACCCCACTCAGAGATTCTGCTTCCCCCATTCATCAGGTGCCTAAGATTGGAGTCAACTTTCTATGTGTCTGTGGACGGACTGCTGACAAGATATCCATCAATCGAAGAGGTGCACCTCCATTCTTTGCGCTCTCCGGAAGAATTCGCTCCGATCAGCATGCCATTGAAGGTCCTTGGCGTCGCACTCACTTTTAGGAGACGCGGCCAATTCCCTTCGCCTGACGCCAATGAGTGCGACAGGCTGGTCTCCAAGATGGTAACAAGGCTGCTCAAAAATGCAACACTAGCCACCACGATCCACTTGATGCTCGGCACAGACGCCAACTACCAAATAAGAAGAATCGATAAGGTGACCTTGATGCTATTGTGCTCTCACAAGGGCGAACTCAGAGCATTGTACTCGCGTCTGGCCAACCCAGCATAAAAACGTCGCGAACCATACCTTAGACCTTCAGGATCAATAAATCATCAGGTGGAATTGCCAGTCAGCCTTCACTGTTAGCTGCCAGTTGCCATCTGCCAGCCTCTATCTATGCGTTCGTGTCCACTGCGATGCCCTCGTTGACCATAGAAAAGGTTGCCAATGTGCCATGGCATGATTTATTCATCGGATGGTGGCAATATCCACTGTGTTTGGTCTAAGATGTTTAATGCTTTGATCACCTAGTTTGTTCCTCACAAATACACCATTGTGTATGGCGTTGGGAGGACTCATAACCATGTAGGCAATGTCCGTTAGAACAGGTTTCAACCTTGCATAGCAGGCACCAGCTTTAAGTAGGCAGACATTACCGCTGGCGTCCTTGCCCAGGGCGTCAACTTGTGTTGGAATCGACATTGAGTAGGAGGAGACTGGGACCCATCCTCCCGGATTAGGATTAGCCAAGTAAAAGACCAGAGCATTGTTCCTTAGGAACAGGTATTGTCGACTGTTTGTGATGAAGCCGTCGAGTACCAATTTGTTGTTGGACTTGGAGGTGAAGTCAATATAGCTTCCTGGGACTAGGGGAATCGAGGTCAATGGGGGCAGTATGCCCACACCATGCAGTTATTGATATCTTGGATGATGAGGCCCCATTCCAGGCCGGCTGTGTTTGGTGCAATGAAGTTCAAGTAGGGACCACCGAGATTATTCCTATTTATTCGACTACTGTTATCTATAGACATGTCAAAAAACATATCATTCGTGCTGGGAACGAGAGTCGAGTTGATTGCCAAGAGAGTCTGCGAGGACAACGAGCCAGGTGCTCACACAAGAGTTCAAGTTTATTGAGAGACTCGAGCGTTTGTATTAAACTAATTCGAGAGAAAATGGAGATCCTGTAATAGGGCATCCATCAGATGATATATGTATCGCATAGGAACCAGTCTGGGGGGAATTAAAAAAGACTGAGTAGGTGGCTGTCTTTTGAGCCTTAAAGTTGTCTTTAACAATGCAGACAATGTCCTTGTAGAAGGAGGTGGAGGCTCTTGAAGAGTTGGTGTTTGCTCCACTTAGATCCGGTGACTCTGAACCGTCCAGAATCATCTTTACATCAAAGATATCACCTCCACTGACTCTGGGAACTCCTGCATAATCAATTGAATGAATAAAGAATTGATTGGGTGCGTTGGCGCTCAATGATTTCTCCAGACCACTAACATAGCAGTTCGGGCCATAACACTTCATCATTGGTCTAATGCTCTGGAGGAAGAGGGGCATTCCATCCTTGATCCACTCACAGAAAGGGTACTCTAGAGGGTTTGGTACCAGGATAATATCGATTGAGGGATTGAGGAGAGACAGTTCACCAGGGACTCTGGTCAACTGGTTTTGACTCAAGTTAAGTCGACGGAGATTGGTGAGCCATCCAACTTGTTTGGGGATAGTTGTAAGCTGGTTCGAGCTGAGATCTAGGTTCTTCATCTTCTTTAAAAGTCCTAGGCTGTTGGAAGTAGTTATACTGAGTTCCAACAGTCTGTTCTCTGAAAGAGACAACTCGGTCAGGTTCTCTAAGTTGCCCAGGTCGAAATCAAAGGAAATCAATGAACATTGGTGAAGGTCCAAAATTTCCAGGGCAACGAGGCTAGTAAAAGATGGAGATAGAGTTCCAAGATTATTGCCTGCTAGTCGCAAAGAACGAAGTCCAATCAGGGTGGCAACAGATGGGGGGAATGAAGTGAATTGATTATCTGAGATATCCAAATGCCGTAAAGTTCCGGCTAGTTGACTAATCTCATCAGGTATATATGCCAATTGGTTTCCACTCATATCCAACATATGAAGATGTGATAGTTCCAAGATTGGTGTAGGGAAGAGGGAGACTCGATTGTGCGAATAGAGGAGTTCCTCTAGGACAGGAAGTTGGATGCCATTTGGAAATGATTGGATAGAGTTGTAGGAAATATTGAGATGTATCAGAGAGTTTAAGTAGGAAGGTGCCATTGTGAGTAGATTATTTGATACATCCAGATGTTTGAGATATTGAAGTTGGGAAAGACCTGGCCATATGATCTTAAGTTCATTTGAATCGGCAATCAGAGTCTCCAAAACGTAGAACCTTTCGATATATTTGTTGAACTCACTAAGGAAGTTCTTTCCTACGTTCAACTTGGTCAAAGTTCTTCTAAACCTTTGTATCCGACGAGGTACTCGGTTTAATCCACATGATGAGAGGTTTAGATCACTTCTATCATTTGATCTTTTGCACAAATATATCCTATCTCTAGCAAGTTGGCTTAATCTATTGCCCATTTGGAAAATATTATTATTATTATTATTATTATTATTACTATTATGTGATTGATTATTATTATCGTACCAGATGACATTTCTCATCTCTTATAGACCAATAAACACACACACATACAAAATACACACACAAACAAACACATTGATTGATTGAATACTTGAGTGTTTATTATTCCCACTCTTGTTGTTGGTGGTGATGCGGTTGTTGTTGGCCAAAGGGAACGCCAATGGGTGGTTGGTGTTGAGTAGGAGGAGGATAACCTTGTTGTGGGTTGTACTGATCAAAGGGCTGACTGTAAGGATTCATGTATTGACTCTGTGGTGGAGGTTGATACATTCCCTGTGGTTGGGCCTGCTGAGGTCCTCTCCAAGTTTGTTGTTGATTATAGGACTGTGGCTGTTGCTGCTGCTGCATTGGTTGCTGGTAGTGTTGTTGTTGTGGGTATTGAGAACGTGCTGGTATTTGCTGCTGCTGTTGGATATAAGGTTGATTAGAGTGCACCATTGGAGGAGGTTGATGCTGTGGTTGATAGTTGGTGGAGTACTGAGGTCTCGTATGTTGTTGTTGTTGTTGTGAATGGTACTGCTGCTGTGGCTGATATTGTTGATGTTGCTGATGTTGTTGTTGCAAATCTGGCTTGTTGGATGGCAGCATTCTACTGGATTGATTTGAGGAGGATGTTGTCGTTGTGGAGCCCGAGGGTCTGGCACTCTGTGAGAGTATCTGGGAGTAGTTTTGCTTGAAGTACTTGATTAACTCGTCAATTGTGGCAAATGTCTTCTTCCTCATTTCATATCCATCGTCCTTGATCAAGATGTGCTCGTGTCGGGGATTGGTATTTGGTACGTGGTAGAGGATCAAGTAGCCAGGATGCGTTTGGTTGATACCGAATGCATAGGGTATTGACTTGGGATATCTCTGCTTGTCCCTCTTGATCTGATCATCGATCTGTTGCTGGGTACCGCTCCTCCAGTACTTGTGACTCTGCACATTGTTGAGGTTGTTGATAAGATACTCAACGTGTCTGCTCAGGATCTCATCCAAACTGTCGTATCTGGTATCACCAATGTAGAATGATTTGCCCAAGCTGACTGGATTTGGCTTGTCCTTCTCCTTGATATCGTGATGTATAATGATGTTGTCCCAGAACTTGAATGTAACAGTTATGTGATCAAAACCACGACTGCTTGGACGAAGGATTGCCTCACCAACGGGCTTGTCCTTGAGATGGCTCTCAGCTTCGGCACAAGTGAACGAGTGCCACAATGGATGGACGACCACTCTCTTCACCTTCTTTGCACGAGCGGGCACAGACTGACGCTTCTTCTCTGCCACCAATGATTGTTGCTGGCGGCTGTGTGAATCGTCCAGTACGAGGTATGGGTTCTGTCCGCCGTGTTTCAGCTCGTTGAAGATTATGTCCTCCCACTTGGAGTTCTGCATGTCAGACTGTTTGTTGCTGAGTGTGACATGGAACCTATCCTTCTCCACTGAAACGACCCGACAGTTGAGCGTGACTCCACGTGGCATCGACTTGACATCATTGCTTTCGCTAATATACTCTGGGGGAATAGTGCCCTCAAGACCATTGTCCAAACGTACTCTGACACCCATAATGACGTCGTTCCTAAACGTGGTAACGGATACCATAGTTCCCACTCGAAGTGTCTGGTCAGTCTCACCGGTCAGCCAAGAGAAGATCTGAGCTTGTGATGGTGGAAGGTATGGCGTGCGAATGTCGGCAAACGGGGAGGTCAGTTCACTCTTGATGGCATAGAGCAACTTCTTCTTTTGAGTGTTCTGACGACTCTCGAGAAGGTCGGCAAAGGCATCCAGATCGATAGACTCGAGCTTCTTGGGCTTCCTCATGACGTCACGGACATAACCAAAGATGAGAGTATCTTCTCGGAAGAAGTCCTGGTCGACGGTCTTGTCCAGTGCATCGGCAGCAATCTTGTAAGCACTAAGATAGTCCTCCGGATGCACTCTGGTATCATCCAGAGGGTTCATGTCTTCGTCACCGAAATACTTCTCTCTGATCTGGATGAAGCCTATACAATTCCTATATACAATGTCCTGGTTGCTAAAGATCTTTTCAATCGCCTGTCGAGAAGACATTGTCTTTCCTCTCTTGATGACCGCCATCGATGCATTCAGTAGAGCTTGAGCTTTCCTTGAACCAAGGCCAGAGACGAACTGCAGTGGAGACGAGGTGAACTTGTGTCGGATCATCCTGTTGATATCCACACCAACGGCGTTGACCACATTGACAAAGCATCGGTGAAGGAGCTTCAGGAGATAGTCTTTGCCAATCATATCTTGAAGGGGATGCAGCTTCAGATACAGGATCTCATTGCTGTCTGTGCAAAGATTGGAGTACTCTGTCATGGGGTCCAGAGCACATCTGGCGATAGCAATGGCATGCTTCAACACTGGTGGGTACTCTTTGAACTCATCGGCATATCTTGCAGAGTTCTGTTCGGATAGACCGATCTCTGGATTGGCAAATTGGATGGCTGGCATACGTTTGAGTGTACCATCGTTTGATAGACGGCCAACTAGTTCGCGAATCTCGTCCAGAAGACGTTTGGATACCATCTCGGTTGCTGACACCAGAATCAATCTTGGTTGGTATTCGCTCATCAGGTCAGTCAGCCTTGAGACATCGTCCTGTTTCTTGTCCTTGATGGTGGTTTCGCCAACCCGATCACAGAGGAAGTCCATCTTTGAGTGTGTCACAATCTCAGACTCAGAGTCGAGCACGGCGCACATTGTAGGTATCTTCTCGCTGCCGTTGCAGAAGGACATGACGTGGAACAGTCGTTTCTTTCCATAGTCATAGTCGTCGTCCTCATCTTCGTCTTGGTTGGGTTGCCAGGGGGCAACACGTAGCTTCTCCTCAAGCCTTCTTGCGCATTCAAAGGCCACGCGGTTGCTTGCCTCTGTGAGTAGCTTGTTTCTGAGCTCCTTTTCAAACACGGGATACAAGAACCCTGTCAACGACTCTCTGAGGACCATCTTTCTTTCTGCGTTCCACTGCTGTGCAATGGCGCTGGTGCCATCGCTTAGGAAGAGACCCTCCATCTCTGGCAGGATAACGTTGTTGTGAACATGCTCGGGCACACCAACCTTGGCCTTGATGAATCCCTCGCGCTCTGCCTTGAGAATAAGGAGGAACTGGGTGTCATCAAACATGTGACAGGGCTTCTCGTGGATGGACTTGACAGTGATGTATGGATGGAATGCATCGATCTCCTTCTGGCCGACACTGGTTGGCGTCGTGGTGATAAAGGCGTACCTTCTATAGATGCCTCTGATGGACTGTCGTACGTTTGGGTCGAATCCAATGTCATGTGCCATAAGATAACGAGTGGCACGGAGCACTTCTCCCATATCGTCAGCCTCAATACAGATGTACTTGAGCGCAGTGGTAGACGGGTCTTCAGAGTGATCGGTTGGGATTCTCGTCATGTAGTTGTCCATCAGGTTGATGCCAAACTCTTGTGGAGTGATACCGTAGTGCGGAAGAAACTTGCCCAGTCCGTCCTTGGTATAGATCGTGTAGAGATCCCTCTTGATTGCACGCTTTGGCTTTGGTTGGTCATCTGAACGTTGTTGTTGTGCTTTGAAGTCGGGACCATTGATCATCTGGAAGAGGTCATAGAGATCGGTTATTCCCTCCTCCAACTTGCATTCGCGCAGCGTCTGTTGATATTGTTCGAGGTTTGGATTGGCCGTGATGAACTGCTCCAATGATTTCTTTGATGCTATCAGATGTGCCCACTTCTCGTCCAAGTCGTATATTGTCCACAGATCCTGAAGTCTGAACTGGGGCTCAAAGACGTCCTTCCTGTAGGCATAGACAAAAGGTACCTCTAGCATCTCGCGTTGGAAGAACTTGAGAATGGTTGCAATAGTCTCGATCATCATTGAGTCCTTGCTCTCCTTGATATCAAATGACATGTCGTAGATCCATTCTGCCTCCTCATAGGTCTGTCTGTCGCTAAGGAACTGGGTACACTTCCTAAGCTGCATCCTCTCGGGTACGTTCTTCTTTCTGATCTCCTCATCGGCGTCGGTGAAGTGCTTCTCCTCCAACAAAGAGGGCTCGTACTGCTCCCTAATAAGCGAGAGAGTATCCTTGGGTTTGTCATCGACGAGCATCTCCTCATCGTCATCACCAAAGATTCCTCCATAGCTCTTGGAAGGTGTACCACGTCCAGACTTTCGTCGGATGGGACGATCATTGGCGTCGACGACAAAATCATCCTCTGACTCGTCAAAGATCATAGCTCGATCCTGTTCAATGTCATCGTCAATATGTCCCTCGTGACTTGGTGATTTCTCCTCTATGTCTGTGTTTTTAAAAAGGTATTGAGTTAGAAAGAGAGAAAGATATGATATCACATCCAGAAATCACCAACACTTACCATCACCATTAGACTTTAGTTTCTTCAGTCTGTGAAGTCTGTTCTTCTTGCTCTTCTTCATGGCATGAAGACGTCTCTTCTCTTCTCTACGGATACGTCTTGCTTCTCTACGCTTGGCGGCCTCCTCAGGGTCCTCCTCTTCATCGCTCTTGTCATCGTCATCCTGGATGTCATCATCACCCTCGTCGCCAGAGTTACCCACGACAAAGTCATCATATTGGTATTCATCCTCACCATCTTCGTCCTCTTCACTAGAGTCTACGAAATCAGCATCCTTCTCAACGATGTCTTCTGCCTCGCCATTCTCCTCATTGTAGTTGTTGTTGATATCGTCATTTGAACGTTTCTTTGATTGCCTCTGCTCCACTACATCATCCGCTGTTGTTGTTGTAGTAGTAGTTGTTGTTGTTGTTTCTGGTGATGCATGGTCATGAGTGTCCTCTTCAACTCTGTCGCTCTCATCGTCACTGTAGTTATCTGTAGCAATGACATTCAAAGTTAGTCACGTGAGTCAAACCACTGAACTTCCAGTACCGATGCTATATTATAAAGATACTAACTCTTCATTTGTGAAGTTTAAACTGTAGTGTCAAGAGGATAATAATAATAATAGAGAGAGAGAGAAGAGATAGGTTATTAATAAAGAATCAGAGAGGAATTGAATATGATTGCGTTTTCACTTGAACTCTAAAGTCTGAAAAATTAGAAATTAATTAAAATTAAATATTAAAAACATTGAACTTCCCTCACACACTTTAATTCAACCCTGTTGTCGGGTGGCGCGCAAAGCCTCCAAGAAATTACTCATTGTTATGTCTTTGCTATTGATGTTGTGTCTTAGGGCTATGAGTGCTGCCTCTTTGCATAGGTTGTTGAGATCTGCACCACACAGTCCACTGGTCAAGCTCGACAATTGAACCAGGTCAACATCGGAGGACAATGGCATCTGTTTGGTTAACTTGCCAAGGATATCAATACGACCAGTGTCATTCGGCAGTGGAACCTCTAGATGGTAGTCAAACCGACCTGGACGTAGGATTGTTGGGTCCAGCATGTCAAGTCTTGTTGTTGCTGCCAATATAATCGAGCTGGCACCACCACCATTGGTCGATGATCCAGCAAATCCATCCATTTCAATCAGTAGACAAGACAACAATCTATCGGCAGATTGTTCTGAACTTGTATCGTAGCCACGCTTCTTGGCCAATACCTCAACCTGGTCAAGGAAGAGTACGCATGGTGCACTCTCTCGAACAACACGGAACAGTCGAGTGAGATTCTTCTCACTTTCACCAACCACTGGACTGATGATATCCGTCGATTGAATGGATATAAAGTTGACGTTTGGTGAGCTAGATGCGATAGCACGTGCTATCAGTGACTTTCCATTTCCAGGTGGACCAAAGAGCAGTATACCAGACGGTGGCGCTGCTCCAATGCGTATCAGTGGTTCTGGATTCATAATAGGAAGTAGTACGGTTGTCCTTATCTTGGCCACGATATCATCCAATCCACCAATGTCCTGGAATCCAATGCGCTCAAAGGTGAACTTGAACTCTTTGAGAATCGATGGTTTGATTGAAGCAAACGTTCGTCTAAAGTGATCAATTGTAACAATGGATGTGGACAATTGACAAGAGTCTGAGCCTGTTATAGCCAGAGTGGCTGCCTCATTGCATAGATTCTGCAGGTCAGCGCCAACATAGCCATGTGTGCAACTGGCCAGGTCAACAATGAGTTGATCATAATGATCCATGTTCGTAGAGTAGTTGGCGTATCGCTTGATCATCACTGCCAAAATGTGTTGTCGATCGATGGGCAAAGGGATGGGTAGGTTGATCACAGAATCAAAGTGCCCACATTGGAAGAAGTCGTCGTCCAGTGTATCTATTCTACTGGTGACACCAACGATAAAGATTGGATGCTCAGCGTGACTGTTTTGTCTAAGAAGGTCCAACAAATGAGAGGATACTCTTTGTTCAATCTCTAATGCATACAACCATTAAGTGTCAGATCATCATATCATCTACAGCAGCAGTAGCAGCAGTAGAATCAGCAGTTGTTTACATACGTCCATAAAGGCCTGAAGATTGTCGTCTAACAGAGATTGAGTCCACCTCTTCGAATACAAGAACGAATGGTTTATCAAAGTGAGAGCGACGTCTTCCTAGTATAATCGATGATAGGTATCGCTCAGTGTCACCGTCATCTAGGGTTTGAGTGTTAGAGGAATCCTGGATGTGTCATCATCATCATCATTGACAACAACAAATCTACATACTCTCTTTATAACAATGTGATGAGTTGACAATTACAAAGTCTAATATCTGTCGAGCTTTGAATTGACCAAGTATGGTTTGTATCAATAACGACTTGCCAAGTCCTGACCTTCCAGAAAGCAAAAGATGGACGGGACGAGGTGTTCCAAGTGGACACAACAAGTCCTCAATACAGCTAGACTGTTGTTGTTGTTGTTGGTTGCCTTTAAATGAAGTGGCAACATAGTATGACAAAGCCTCTATGATGGCAATGCATTGTCTGTCTAGTCCTCCGACATGTTGTCTGGTGTCATCATTGAGCAATCCTCTGTCATTATCATCTACATGTTTAGTGGACATTGTTAGGATGATAATGATATGTGTGGGTGTACTTGTTTCACACCGAACCAATCCCCCTTATTTTGACAAAAGGTGTTAATTTGAATGAGAGGTCCTGAGTCGTTCGATTCAAACTCCCTCCATTTTTTGATAACACTGGTTAACCGTTTTTGTTGAACACCCTTCTTATTGCATTATAGTTGTACAGAGATATACATAATAATAATACATGGATGACAAAACAAACAAAACAACTGACATGATGCAAATAGACAATGAGCGGACAGATGTTGATGACACAACAGCAACAACTGCGACTGCAACAACAGGAGATATATCTACACCAATCATTGATACCGTTACTGGCATAACGCCAACAACTCCTACAACAACAGACTCAGCCAGTGATGAGGAAGAAAGATTGTTCTTCAAACAACTCAATGATTTCTACATTGCAAATGGGTATGTTACACATACATACATGTACAATACATAGCATGTTAGAGACTAACATATATTGTTGACTTTCCCAATCTAGATCCTTCATGAACACTACAAAGAGACCTCAGCAAAAAGGCAAACTAATCAGATTGTTTGCCCTGTACAATAGTGTCGTTGACATGGGTGGATACAATGAAATATCGACAAGTGACTGGAATGACTTTGGTGCACAGTTCAACATCTCTGGCTCAGTCAAACAAGTCTATCTCAAGTACCTCATTGACTTTGAAAAGTGAGTAACAGTGTCAGGCAGTGGTGATCATATATTGCTACATCTAATCTAACCGACTGTCTGGCGCTGACTGGCTACCACCAACAGGACATTCTTCAAACGTGATGACAAACCATCAGCTTCAGCTTCGTTCAATGAGATGATCATGGAGTCGATCGATCCATCCAATGTGACATTGGGCAACATGCTAAAGAACTCATTGCTATTGGATGGCCCTGGTGGACAAAAGAGGAAACAGATTACACCGGCTGCTGCTCTTGCCGCTGCCAGTACCCAACAACGATCCACCAAAAAGACAAAAGAGGAGAGTATGTATTCGTGAAGTACAAGTTACCTTCAACCAGTTATTCTAATTGATCATCATCTATTGAATAGACTACACACAATACGAAAAGGACTTTGAAACCACGAGGACAATAACTTTATTCTCCAAACAACTGTTTCGTGGCGCGATTGAATCACATGTGTTGAACGCCAAGGGTGGTGAGACCATCCAGAAGATTGACGGCCCTGCAAGTGGCAGTGTCAACAGTAGGAGTAGACGAGGAGTGCGAGCCAATGGCAGTCTTGCAGTGGACAACAATGATGTGGACATTGAGTCGACAACACCAATCGAATCACCTCCTCTGGGGCAGGCACCAGTCACAAAGAAATCCACTTCCACACCAACAACAACCAAGCGAAGAGGAGCAAAAAACAAAGAGAATGATGGCACTACACTGGAAGAACCAAGAATTGACTCTAGGTCAACCTCACCTGTATATAATATCGATACATCACCACAAGACAAACGAAAGAGGAGCAAAGTGGAGGCGAGTGGTGAGGACAGAGATGTAATTATCAACGAGGATGATGAAGATGATGACGAACAAGTCACACCAAAGAACCAGATAAATGTGGTCTTGGATGATGATAGTAGTAGCAGTAGTAGTAGTAGTAGTAGTAGTATTATCAGTGTAAATATAGGACGCAAGAGAACAACGAATCAACAAAAAGCACCAACAACATCCACAACTACAACAACAACGACATCAGCAGCAGCAGTGGACAAGAAGAAGAAACAACAACAACAACAACAAACCAAGGATAATGCCAAAACCAATCCCAATGTAACAACAATATCACGGCTCCAGTTTGTTTATACGCCTCTTTACTCTGATGTAAGCAAGCTGACATTGACCGATATGGAAACGACAAATAATCGACTCAACCAACTCAAAGACATGGAGGCACAACTGCTGGATAAGCTACACAAGATTGCACAAGAGAGAAATAGTTTGGTAGACTACTTACAACGAATCAATAAATAAATTAGTAGTGTCTTTGACATCACGATCATCTGCTGTTTAAATAGGTTTATTAGGACTGTTGGAGGGTACAGTGTATTTGGACACTGTTGGTAAAAAAATGTAGGAGGAAGAGGAGGAGGAGGAGAAGGAGGGGGAGGTAGGGGGAGGTAGTTGAAGATAGCCATCTCACTTAAGATAGGTTCTCAGCAACCCATTTGTCGCAGTTGGATATGAACATGCATGAGCATACATCTTGACTTCCGCAGGTAATGAATCGTGGCACTCTGGCTGCCATGTATAGGACACCAACAAGACCCATGGTAACCAAACCATAGATGAGGAAGCCAAAGAATGGCAACCACTTGCCTTGCATCTTCCTCCAGGCACGCTCCAAGGGCAAACCAAAGTAACGCTCGTTGATCACCAGTGTGACGATATCGAAAGGGATGGCGATAAGAATCTGGATGGCAACATTGATGAGTGCGGCCTCCATAGTGAATGATTCGCCAGATGGATAGGGCAAGAAGAACAACGCTCTGGAGTTTACAAACAACCACATCATGAAAGCAGACGTTGGAATTGAAGCATTCTCCATGATCATCTCGGTGAACAGTCCGGCAGCACGAACAAACTTCTTGGACTCGACATGCTCTGAGCCCAAAAGCTTCTCAAGAAGCTTGGAGGCATACTTGTCTCGGACCTGAACTGAGGAACGCACCACTAGCTTTCCAAAGTTTAGGAGGAACACAGATCCAATGGTGAAGTTGATGTCTCCGATCGTGGAAATCATCAAACGTCCAAGTGTGGAGATGTGCGCCTGAGCATGGACGACGGCCAAACTGTGCATCACTGATTGACCCTTCTTCTCCATCTGTTTGGTGACCAACAGTCTGACTGGAATCATCATGAATATCTAAGAGATATATAGAGGATGTTAGATTAAATGATAAAGATTGTGAACTGATCATTTGCACTTACCTCAAAGTAGACTGGATGGACGAGCAGACGCCAAGTGACCTTCATCATATCTGAGAAATTGGTGTAAACTGATATGATTGAAAGATGTTAGAGATGAATCTTTTGTTGATATGACTAGAATATACAGTACATACCTTGGATGAAGAACATTCCGTAGAGAAGTGCAGTGGCAGACACCAACACCTCGGTACCGAGGAAGGCAAGTCCATTGTTAAGTTTCTGACGGAAGGTCTTGAAACTTCGGCCAACGTAGCCCATAACAAAGCTGAGACCACAGTATGTGGCAATGAGCAATAGAACATCACCCAACCAGTACCAGTAGCGGACCTCACCAGTTAACATACCCCATGGTACGATGAGGTCAGCGGCAATGCACAGTACCACCCAAAAGTAGAACTTGGTCTCGATAGCTCTCTTGATGCCGTAGACAGAGATGAACTGAATTGCAGTGAACAGGGCGAGACCGCTTATGAAGAATGTAGAGTTGAGGATGGCGATGGCCTGCTGGTTGAAGTAATTGGTGGTGCCGTTGTTCCTGATGACGTAGTGGGGCAGGGAGAACATCCACAGGACAAACGCTCCAATGAATGTGCTGATCAACACAATGAATGACACCTTTACGTACTCGATGGAGCTCTCCTTGGAATGTTGCCATAGACTGATTGTCAATCTCCTCCTGATCTTCTTGCCCTTGGGACCCATGACAGTGGTCATGTCACCAGCTGAGATCTGTTTCATTGCGGTGCCATCCTCCTCATCACCTGGCATGTTTGCCCCATCTGGAACGTTGTCATTGTCGCTGTCATCATCAGAGTCGTCGTCATCTGATTCATCTGGAGTTCTAGAGTCAAGAGAACTCTTTTCTAACTCAATCGATGCCAGACTCTCTGAAACAGGAAGGTTATTTTGTGAGACATCGGGTGATGGTGGTGGGGTGACATTCGATAAGGCGGTGTTGTTGTTGTTGTTGTTGTGATTGTCGGCAGCAGGTCGTAAACGCAGAGAGGCTTCATTTTCATGTGATGTATTATTATTATTGCTATTGCTATTGTTGTTCAACACTGTATATATGTCGTTTGGCTAATTGAAAAGTAAAAGGTTAGATACCAACTGACTGACTAACTGTGACTGATTGATTCAATTGAATCTTAAAGATTGAGTACGTACCTCTGAGTGGGTTATGACAATGCCAACTGCACCTACACTGCCACTGATATCTGTGTTTGTATCCATAACTTCTTGACTGAAATGCTGTAGTACTACTATTATTATAATTATTACTGCTAGTGTGTAGTTGATGTATTCTTATTTGATTGGGATTTTGCTAACTAACTTTAATGGATAGATTCTATTCCTTGGACCTTTAATAGTTCGGCGTGTCCAAGTTGATAGTGGAGAATTAATCGTGGTCGGACAAGTCCAAAGTCTATTTCTAGCTGGTGGACAGAGAGGGACAACTATCCAAAATAGATACTCCAAACATAGAGAGAGTACAATACATTGTGATTGACACAGAGAACAAGTTCTCGGAGGATGTCATTGACACAGGTCACACCAGAACGACTAGGAATCAGTAACTCGTCACAGACCTCCAAGTAATAGTTTTGTGTGGCCTCTGTGCCGTGACACAGGAGTGGTGGTGCAATGGTCAGCCCAAAATGTATTGTGATTTGTTTTTCATGCGTGTCGACCACTTTCGTTATGATCAGATCAATCCCGACCATTTTGTGTTTATTGGGCGTCCACAAGTCCCACTGATTGTGGTTAGAGGTGCCCATCCATACAGATTGGCCATAGTTTAGTTGTAAACCACGCGAAGAGATATTTTTTTTGATCTGATGATGGGTCTGCCCATTTGACCGTGACCAATTTCCACTTCGCTCGCATAATATATTATTTAGAACGAGTGATCATGATTCTTTCTTTGTCAATTTATTTATAATAGATTACTTTTTATAAACTCCTCGCAGTTAGATACAAACATACAGGAACATACATCCTTGCTCTGACACATGACAAATCGAGGCAGTCTACAAGCCATCCAAATCACACCAAGCATGCCCATCGTTATGATTCCATAGACAAGGAAACCAAAGAATGGCAGCCACTTCTCTCTCATCTTCTTCCATGCTCTTTCCAGTGGCATGCCAAAGTATCGTTCGTTGATCAACAGAGTAACAATGTCAAATGGTATGGCAATGCCCAACTGAATGGCCACATTGATTACAATGTCAACGATGCCAAAGCTCTTGTCTGGGAAGGGCATATAGAACAGTCCTTGATAGTTACGGAACACCCACAATGTGAAGGCTGACGTGGGTATCGATGCATTCTCCATGATCATCTCGGTGAACAAACCAACAGCGCGAACAAACTTCTTGGACTCTATGTGTTCAGTGCCGGCAACCTTCTCCAGTACCTTGGATGCATACTTGTCTCTAACTTGAACTGTGGATCTGAACACCATCTTGCCAATGTTTAGAAGCAACACCGAGATCACTGTTAGAGTGGTATCGTTGATGGTGGATATCATCATACGACCAAGTGTAGATATGTGAGCCTGAGCGTGTACCACTGCCAAACTGTGCATGATGGACACTCCTTTCTTCTCCATCTGCTTGGTTACCAATAGACGTACTGGGATCATCATACCTACCTCAAAGTAGATTGAGTGGACTATTAGACGCCATGCAACTTTTGCAATGTTTGAGAAGTTGCTATATACTAAATATATGTTGTTGTTGATCGATCAAATAGGTTAAGGTTAGATCAATTATATTTGTTCATACAATCAATCAGAACATTCCATAGAGTAGTGCAGATACAGCCACTAGAACTTCGATTCCAAGGAATGCCAGTCCATTCTTTAGACGTTCCTTGGTTGTTTGATAAGGCTTACCAAGGTATCCCATAACAAACGAAAGGCTAACGAAGCCTACCAGTAGTAAAAGGACATCACCCATCCAGTACCAGTAGTCTTGATCTCCTGCCCACATGCCCCAGGGCACAGCAATAAAGAGGAGGATATCGGCCAGCAAGAATAGGTAGAACTTTGTCTCTATCATTCTCTTTAGACCATAGACTGAAAGGAACTGAATTCCAGTGAATGCCGCCAGACCTGTCACAAAGAAGACAGAGGTGAGGATTGTGACGTCGGTCTTGTCGAAATAGTTGATTGTGCCTTGATTACGCCTGATCCAGGTCTCATTGGAGAATGAAAAGATAATGACAATGCCCAATATCATTGTCACCAATACCACCAGGGACATCTTGCCATAGTCCTTGATGAGCTCGAACAAATGGCTTCCCAGTGATAAACCAAGTCGTCTTTTGTTCGTGTCATTTGCCTCCATTATTTCCAAGTTCTTCTTTTGTTGGTCCACATTCAGGTCCCTCATCTCTACTGCTCCACCTTCATTCTCCACTGTATCCCTGGTCCTTTCAGGATCAGTAATGTCATCATCGTCCTCATCTTCATTATCTTCATCTTTGGTGAGGTCAACTAAATGTGGACGAGGTGATGCCTTTGTTGTTGAAGCTGTTGAATTCCTTGGAGATGGCAAATGAACTCTGGGTGTTATAGGCCTTGGATTCTCAGTGAGATCAACGTCCAAACTATCTACATTGCCTTTGAAGCTGTGACTCCTATGACGTGTATTGATTGTTTCCTTGGTGGTATGAGTTAAAGAGATTGACATTGTCCTGTCTCTTTCTTTATTATTGCTACTACTGACATCAGACTTGACCTTTAGGAAAAAAGTTAGGAATATTATACAATTTAAATAGAAATAATTATTTCTATTATTAATGCTTACATCGGATAGAACAGTTCCATTTTCAACGACATTATCCATATTATTATATTTAGATAAATATATTATATTATATTAACGTTTGAGAAAATGATCGTTCGATCTACTACTACTTTCCTAGTACTACAACTTTCCGAACGCTATTGATAATAATTAAATAAATTGTAGATTGTCAGGTCGCGATACTCAAACAATCTTGTCTTACCAAAGAATATAAACGAATAAAAAAACTCTATTTTTGGATCCACATCAGGTCCGGATCTTTGAATCAAATCCCGAAACGAGGTCATCTATATAGATCTAAAAAACTATGACAATAACTTATCAATTGAGAAGTTTCTATAACCACGAAAAAGACAACGATCCTGGTTAAAAAGATAACTAAGTTTGAAGTTCGGAAGATTGTGCAACCCAATCAAAATCACCCAGTGATCGTAGGGGTGGTACCCAACCCTTCAAATTTAATTAATTTATTATTGAATGTTCATTCACAATCACATTTAAACAACTAGATAGATTTATAGAAATGGAATACAGAAGATTAGGAAAGACGGGACTTGATGTCTCATTATTGAGTTATGGCGGTTCACCTCTGGGTGGTTGCTATGGTGACAACGATGAGAAGAGACACATTGATTCAGTTCATCGTATGTAATACTCTAGTGACCAAATTACTTGACTGACTGACCGACTGACCCTTTAAACAGATGCCGTAGAGATGGGTATCAATTTCTTTGATACCTCACCATACTATGGAAAGACATTGTCAGAGACAGTGATGGGCAAAGCAATCAAAGATATACCAAGAGATAAGTTCATCTTGGCAACCAAGGTGGGAAGATATGACGTCAAGGACTTTGATTTCTCCTACAACAGAGTAATCTCCTCTGTTAAAGAGAGCATGAAACGTCTTAACGTGGAGTACCTGGACGTGGCTATGTGTCATGATATTGAATTCGGTGACCTCAACCAGGTCATCAATGAATCCATACCTGCACTGATGAAACTCAAACAGGATGGTCTGGTTCGACACATTGGAGTGACTGGATATCCACTAAAGGCCCTGATGACTGTTGTAAATGCTTGTCCATCTATTGATGTCATACTCTCCTACTGCCACTTCTGTCTGAATGACACATCTCTCGAGTCCATCGTACCGCAACTAAAACAACAGAACATTGGTATCATCAATGCATCCCTGCTCAACATGGGAATGCTTACCGAGAGAGGACCACCTGAATGGCACCCAGCAGACCCTGAGATCAAGAAGAAGGCACAAGAGGCTGCACGTCTTTGCAAAGAGAGAGGATCGGACATCAGTAAAGTGGCGCTCCAGTATGCCCTGAGAGAGAACCAAGACATACATACTCATCTGGTCGGAATGCCTCACAATGACCAGGTGGACTACAACATCAAGTTGATGAAGGACCCAATCGACAATGATCTAACAGTCAACGTGCTCAACATGTTCGAAGGTGTAAAGAACAGACAATGGATTTCAGGTCGAACGGAGAATAATTGACCACAAAGGATGTACGAATTGCCATCCAAACTACTATTGTTGTTGTAATATAACCTTAGCCAACGCATTTGGAAGGATTGGTTGGGTATTTAATCTGACAGAATGTAGTCAGTCTCTTGACGGCTTGTATATATTTCCTTTGTGTTTCATCATTAAGTACATCTAGATGAGGATATCAACGTTTGTTGTTGGTGAGTATTTAAACGATGGTATAGTGTTTGATGATGGAGATAACTTACGAGCTACTTGATTGGAGGAAATCTTCTCTCTTGATGAACGCTCATGGATACCAACCATTGTTACACCCATTGGCCAAGGGGCATTTCCGATGGCCATCTGGAGGTACTGATCGTGAGCTCTGATGTACTCCCTCTCTTTACAAAACTGTACTATCTTGTGGATGTGCTCCAAGATATCAGCGGGCAACGTCTTTGCCTTTAGATGATCAAACAGTGGCTTGATGTGAGCAGAGCACTGGAGAAAAGTGGCAAACTTCTCCTTGCCCTGTCGACTCATCCTTTCCTCATCTGGCTGCATTTCAATTGATTCCTCCCACTCCTTGAGCAGCTTCCAGAGGAAGTAGTAGATTGTACCAAACTTTGACTTGGTGGCCTCGATCTTTAGCTGCTCCTCTGATTCCTCGGGCACTTCGCTTTTCTTCTTCTTATTCTTTGCATCCTCAGATTTGTCGCCACTTTTAAGATCATTATCGATCTGCTTCATGTATCTAGCAAACTCATTTTCGCCCTGAGTACCATACTCTATTGGTTCATTCTCCTCCAGCAATCGCAGTCGTTCCGCTCGTATATAATCAGTCTCACCAAAGAATGTTATTGGGTGTCCTCTCAGTCTCAGTCTTAGTATGACTTGATTCTTTGGCAAGAATGGTTCCTAGAATGATAACAACACATATTTGTCAGTCAGTCAGTCTGTCAGGATCTCTCGAGTGTGATGTACACATACAGGTTCACTTGACTCTGAAGAGTTCGAATTGATACTTTTGTTTGACAAACTGGTGACAGTGCTTTGTTCGCCATTGCCCGATGACTGTCCATTTTGTCTCCTCTGTTCCTCATCTTGTTTGCTTTTCTTTTCATCCAACTCCCTTTGCTAATGATATATGATGGTGATAAGTTAATAAGTGATCAACAACAACCAACCAATATTATTCTTGTTTGTTTATTAACAAGAACAACATACCTTTGCCAACTTTTCCTCCTCCTTCTTCTTCTGAGCCTCTTTCTCTATTTCACCTCTAGTCTTGTATTTCTTTGTTGGAGCACCGCCACCAGCATCACCACCCGCTTTGCTTTCCTTTGCCAACTCTGTTTCCTTTCTTTTCTTCTCAGTCAATGCTTTCAGTGCTGCCAGACTGCTCATTCTCTCTTTTCTTCTTTTCTATCTATATATATCTGTATGTTTGTCTGTCATCCCAAACAAAATTATTAATAATTTGTTAACAATGTTTGGTTGTGTGTTTGGACAATGCCTTTTTCGTTGGAATCTGTTGGTTCATTGTCTGATTTGCAACAACACTAAGTACTAATAAATAACGATACAACAAAGTTAAGGATTGGATTACCCTGCCATCACATATTTGAATCCAATTAATTGTTGTTGAATGTACTTTGGTCCTCCTCTACAAGATCCATTTTTTCTTAGGTCTTTCATGAAAGAACACTGAAGCTGATTAGAAATCAAATTTAATTTCATTTTGATGATGATCAACAATCAAGTGAGGGGACACCAAACAACCACCATTATCTATTATCTTACAGCCCATCAACAAGCATACATATATTTATATATATATTTGATCAATTTAAATAACATATACAACAACAATGACAAGCTTCTTCTTAACTCAGGTCCTGGAGAAGATGGGCTCTGGCGATAAGGATATTCGTTTCATGGCCACACATGACCTTGCTAATGAGATGGAGAAGGACACCTTCAAGATGGACCCACTCATGGAGCCAAAGATCGTTCAGAAGTTGCTTGACCTTACTGATGACAAGGCAAACAATGTACAAGAGAATGTTGTCAAGTGGTACGTCTTTACTCAATGATGAGTTATGTTATTGATGGGTTGCTTCACACAAGATTACTAACTTGTCAACACTTTAATATCATCACAGTTTGGGATTGCTGGTCAAGTTTGTTCGTGATACAGTTGCCTCAGATATGGCTGACCATTTGACCAAGAACCTATTGGAGACCACAAAGGAGGAGCTTCAGGAGATCAGCTCAATTGGTCTAAAGACCATTGTTGCCAACATGCCACCAAACTCTACCTCACCTGCTATGGTCACCAAGAGAATCGTTCCAAAGCTCTTGGAGGGTATTCAGAATGTAAGTAGATACTATTAATAATTCAGGTGAGAAGAGGACAAAAGATTAACAGATGATCCTGTTCATATTTATTATTAGAGCAAAGCAGGTGACAAGACAGAGACAAAGATGTACTGTTTGGATATTCTTAATGACTTCCTTGCAAGATATGGTCCCTTGGTTCCACACTTGGACCAGGTCAGAGATGCTGTCCTACCAAGTTTGAACGCATCACGTCCGGCCATTAGAAAGAGAGCCATTAACTGTCTCTCTAGCTTTGCCATCCCCGCCTCGGACGATCTGTTCTACAACCTCGCCGATAATATCATCAAGCAGATCGAGGAGGCCAAGAAGGCTGACCATATCTCCACACTCATCCAACTGATCGGTTCCATTGGTCGCTGCTCTGGTTTCCGATTGGGAAAGTACCTGCCAAAGATCATGCCCTACATCATCAAGTATGCCGACAGCAACAAGTTTGAGAACATGGACGAGCTCAAGGAGAACTGTTTGCTCTGTTTCGAATCAATCATTGAGAGGTGCCAAAAGGACGTCACGCCCTTCCTCAACGACATCATCACCCTCTCGCTCAAGTACATCAAATTCGATCCAAACTACTCGGACGATGGAGATGACGAAGAGGATGAATCAGAGGAGATGGAGACCGACGATCAAGAGGAGGAGGAAGAAGAGGAGTATGTGTAACAACAATCAAAAGAGTCCCGTAGTGGCTTCAACAATCAACTAACAACTCTTACCATCCCCTTTTTACATATTGTAGTGAGGACGCTGACATCAGTGACGACGATGACATTAGCTGGAAGATTCGTAGATCAGCCTCAAAGGTATTGTGTGCAATCATTACCTATCGCCCAGAGCTCCTTCTTCAAATGTACGAGCAAGTGGCACCAGTCCTCTACAGCAGATTCAATGAGAGAGAGGAGAATGTTAGAGTATGTATAAACAGAAAGAAAGAAGAAGAAGAGAGATTTAATGCTCACACAACGACTATTACTACTACTACTACTTCAATAACAGTTGGATATCTTCAATACTTTTGTGTTGTTGTTGAAGCAAACTCAAAAGAGATCCACTGATGCCAACAAGTATGCCCAGGTGTTGAAGTCACAAACACCAAAGATTGTATCCTCCTTGAAGAAGTCTTTGGTGGACAAGTCCATCAGAATCCGTGTTGGCGCTTTCTGTCTCTTGAAGGAGCTGATCATCATCGTTCCAGGCTGTCTGGCTCAACATGTTCAGGCACTCGTTCCAGGAATCACCAACAGCCTCAACGACAAGAACACAAACTCCAATCTCAAGATCGAGGCCCTGTCCTTCCTGCGAGTCCTTCTCAACAACCACCCACACGAGGCCTTCCATCCACACGCCAAGGTGTTGAGCACTCTTATCAACCAGTGCATCAAGGAGTCCTATTACAGAATCACATCCGAGTCGCTCAAGGTCTGTCAAGAGTTTGTCGTTACACTCCGTACTCCCGGTGCCGCACCAACTCCAGACACACAGCAATATGCTCTCTCATTGTATGAGGCCACCCTCGTTCAGTTGAAGGCACAGGATGTCGACCAGGAGGTCAAGGAGAACGCAATCTCCTGTATGGGATCGATCATTGCCACATTTGGTGATGTCCTCCAGGCACAGCTCCAGCCATGCTACGCCATCCTTCTGGATCGTTTGGATAACGAGATCACTCGAGTGATCACTTTGAGGACTTTGTCAAAGATTACCACATCACCATACAAGGTTGACGTCACTCCTCTTACCAGCAAGGCCATCGACCTATTGTCATCATTCCTGAGAAAGGTATGTTAACATCAACAACAACCAGAGTATAATCACCATTGCAACTAACACTTTACACTTGATCAATCAACATAGAACAACCGTCAATTGAAACAAACTACCATTACAGTGCTCAACGACACTGTTCTCCATATCCCTCAGGTTATCAAGGATGCCCAAGTGCCAACAATCCTTACAGAGTTGGCAAGCAACATTAAGTATGTATTGACCACACACACCAACAACTCTTATGAGGTTTGTGTGTAGACAAGCCACTGACTATCTGACTCCTTCATCCCAAATGTTAATAGTGAGGCAGACTTGCAGCTTACACACCTGTCCTTTGTACTCTACCAAAACCTTCTCAAGTCGCACCCAACCTCTGTGACCTACCTTCGTCAGAAGATACTCCCACCAACCTTGACTCTGTTGAAGAGCTCTGTTCTCCAAGGTGTAGCGTTGGAGTCTCTGTTGTCCTTGTTTGCCAGTGTGGTCAAGTTGAACGAGCCACAAGTCACCTACAAGGACCTCCTCAACCTGCTCTTTGACACTGCCGGACAGATCAAGCAGCCAGTGACCAGACAGTCGTTTGCACCAGTCTCTCAGTGCATTGCCATCATTACCATCTCCACTGATGCCACCAGCAGAAACGCAACAATTGAGGGATTGATTAAGAACCTCTCCTCCACTGAAGAGCCTGTAAGTACATCCATCTATCCTCAAACAATAACATCAACTGCTAACCACCAATACTCATATCCACTTGTAGCTTGTTCTGCTTTCCCTTACTTGTATCGGTGAGATTGGTAGACGTATCGATGTCTCCTCGTTCAAGAATATCCAGAACACAATCCTCCACACGTTTGATGCCACAAACGAGGAGGTTAAGCAGGTGGCCGCTCTTTGCCTCGGAAACATTGCAGTGTCATCACTGGCCACTTTCCTGCCATTCATTTTGAGCAGCATCGAGAGCAATCCAAAGAAGCAATACCTGCTCCTCCACTCACTCCGCGAGTGCATCGCCAGGCTGCCACAGTCTGCCAACGGCATTGAGAGCATCCGTCCATACCTACCAGCTGTGCTTAAGATTCTATTCGACTACTCCTCTCCAAACCAACCATCGCTTCTCGATGAGGAGGGAACTCGTAACATTGTGGCCGAGTGTCTCGGAAAGCTTTCCATTGTGTCGCCAACCGAAATCATCCCAAGACTCGAGGTAAGATTGACAATCAATCACTGGTGTATACACCGATGGTATACTTTACTAACTATGATATCCCACCCCAACAATAGAAACTTATCACATCTGCTTCTTTGTTGGAGAGATCAACAGCTGTCACCTCTATCAAGTTTGCCATTTTGGAGAACAAGGAGGTCGTAGACACTCACCTCTCACCTTCCATTGGAAAGTTCTTGACCCTGTTGAGTGATTCCGATCTGGTAAGTCATTTGGACTGTTGTCTGTCTTCCTACCCTATCTGTTTGCTAACTTTGATTTTCATCATCTTTATAGGTTGTCAAACGTTCTGCTCTGTTGACACTGAACTACATTGCTCACAACAGACCAAATCTCATCTTGGCAGACTTGCCCAAGTACCTGCCAATACTGTACTCTGACTCCAAGCTCAAGCCAGAGCTGATCCGTGAGGTCAACTTGGGTCCATTCAAGCACAAGGTTGATGACGGCATTGAGATCAGAAAGACTGCATTCGAGTGCATGTACACACTACTTGAGACCACTTCATCATTTGAAGTGTTGCCATTTGTTGAGTCGCTGGCTGGTGGACTGAAGGACACCCAGCACGACATCAAGTTGTTGTGCCACTTGCTGGTCATCCGTTTGGCCGCAGTCAATGGACAGGGTCTGCTCGAGGGCCTGAACCTCCTGATCGAGCCACTGCGCGCCACCCTCCTGGCCAAGGTGACCGACGCAGCTGTCAAGCAGCTTGTGGAGCGCAATGAAGAGTGCATCCGTTCTGCTCTTCGTGTGATTGCAGCCATTCATCGCATTCCATCGTCAGAGTCGATCATCAAGTTTGAGGACCTGATCCGTTCCACCATCCGTCCAAATGCAGCGCTCAACACACAGTTCAACGCCATCGTTGAGGAGGACACCACCAACCAAGATGCCATGGATACATCCAACTAATGTGGTGGACTGTATGCAATCAATCAACAAACAATCAATCAATCAACATAAACAACATTAATAATCATAATAAATAATACATGGTCCTGTGTCTTCAAGTTCATCATCAAATCATTTGACTTATTTCTGTATCAATAGATAGATAGACAGATGACTCTAACATTTAGTGTTGTGGCTACCGATGGTGATGCAAGGTTGTCAACTCTAAAGAGTGAGCAACAACAGCATGATCCAACTATAGCACCAGTGTCAAGATCAATAGACACACCTACATTCATGTTCTACACAAAGCAAGGCAGTGTCGATAACATCACCAAGGACTTGCTAAACTCTTTGCCTCACCAAAGGGTTCATACCCTTCAAATGTTATACTCTGATCTGTAAGATATAAACGACCGTCATTACAAGATGTTGCCACTTACTAACCATGAGCGAATATCTTATACAAACATAGTGTACAGTTCATTGACGTACTAGACAAGTACCAGAAGGGTGTACATCAGTTCCTCAGTGTCAATGAGCACATGGTGTTTGTATCACTAAGAGACTCTGCCTCCTATCAAGAGACTACATTCAACGAACAAGGCTTCAGTATTCTTGCACGCAAAGGTAACAAGAAGATGGGTAACGCCGAGTACTACAACTCTCTCAAGATTATCAAGCCAGATATGGTGTCGTCATTGTGCTTTGATATACCTTGGGACTCGTCGACCAAGAAGCTCAAGAAGCAACTTGCTCTCTGTTCATCCTCCGTGGATACAGTGCTCAAGGATACGTCATTCGACAACTCAACAGTGATTGCTGCTGTGGTGGGCAGCAAGGCAGAGAATTCCGCAATGGAGGTCAATAAGGTTACGGCCACAAAGGACGTAGGAGGATTCATTCTCAGCAACTTTGGCACCAACGAATCACTGAAGGAGAGAGAGGATCAGATTCCAAAGCTGTTGGCATTGCTGCCAGCATCAAAACCAAGACTTATCACTGGGCTGGGCAGTCCAGAGGAGGTGGTGTATCTGATCGAACAAGGAATTGACATCATCAACACCTCCTATCCATTCTCCATCACTGAATGGGGACACGCTCTTACTTTTGAATACAAGTATGACCGAATTAAGCAGCAGCAGCAAGCGACATCACTCAACAAGATCAATCTTTGGGATGCCAAACATGTCGTTGACACAACACCAATTGTTGCTGGATGTCAATGTTTCACTTGTATCAATCATACCAAGGCCTACATTCACCATCTATTGAACACACACGAGATGCTCTCCCAGGTTCTGTTGACAATGTAACTATCATATATCTATTGCTCTCAAAATAATCATCATCGTCTAACACTCAACAACATTGTAAATCCTTAAAACCAGACATAACATTTCTCATTACCTTGCATTCTTTGCAGAGATTAGGTCAGTCATCAAGCAAGGTCAATTTAAGGAGTACAAGACTCTATTCCTGGCACAAAGATCAAAGGAGAGAGACAACGAATGATCAATGTGTCGTTGAACAACCAATAAAACATTGTCATTTTGTTGTCGACACGACTAGTACTCCTATTTGTAATAACAATAATGTCAACTATACAAGACGAGAGAATTGACGTTTTAGTCAACAAAGCAGATAATGTCGATGCTGATGGACAACACTGTCTGTCTGTGATCAAGAGTGAGGACAGAGGACGATATATCATTGCTACGAGGAAGATAGTGCCTGGAACGAGAATACTCACAGCTGAATCACCACATTGCTTTGGATGGCTGCCCTATCTTATCAAGCAGATGTGTTCACATTGTTTCGCTCACAGTGATCTTCGACAACAGATGGCAAACAACAATGCCAAACTCTACATTGGATGCAAGACATGTCAGCAGGTGTACTACTGTTCACAGAGCTGCTACGATGCCGGTCATTATTCAAAGCGTGGCAACAATCAGGTGGATCCAACATCTCCAGCATCACACTATCACACTGTACTCGAGTGTCTGGTGCTCAAGTACTTGGTCATCCCATCAGGGTTCTCTTTTCATCATGTGTCAGAGATGCGCATGGTCATCAACTATATTGCTCAGACACCATACATGCCCTACCAAGGCACAGACCCAGAGTTTCCACTCATCAAAGATGACATGTCATTGTTAGTTGGCGAGCATCAACAGGTTAGCGGTAAAAAGGAGGACAAGAAGACTCTACGTAAAATGAGCTCTGTCATCAAGAAGGCCTTCTCATTGGCCATGTACGATCTAAAGGAAACTGATGTCATGGAGCTGATAGCAAAGTCCACCAGGAATTGTTTTGGGTATGTTCACTATTGTGTGGATATCACACTCTGTCTCTCAAAGATTAGCTACTAACTACGATAGTTTACAATATCAATCGATCTTAGCATTTGGAAGAACTACGAAGAATGTTTTGGATTGTCAATGTATTGTACAGCTTCATTCTTCAATCATAGTTGCTATCCAAATGCAGCAAGATTACAAAAAGGACGATCGATAGAGATTGTGGCCCTTCGCGATATAGAACCAAACGAAGAGGTGACCATTTGCTACATCAATGTCACACTGCGACAGTGTGACAGAAGGACTCTACTGAGTGATTGCTACTACTTTGTTTGTGGATGCCAACGATGTCTGCACACCACTCCAGCAATAGAGAATGCAGTGGCAGCCTACACATGTCGTAATCCACGTACCAGATGTTCTGGTTATCTACTTCATTTAGAAAACATTAGTAGTTCAAGACAATGTAACTTTTGTAGGTGGAAGGAAGACGAACCAGGGTTGGTATCATGCGATTAATCAAGGTAGATATGTACATGTATCTAGAAATAAATATTTATTTGATCATACTAATAGTATTCCATTCCAGAAGTCAAACATGTTCTTTGAATCTTCGATTGATTTGTTCATTTATCCAATTGTCAAGATAAAAATGGGAACTGGGTGTCATCTTATTCCCAACTTGTTTGATCTTATCAACAACAACAACAATCGATCGTTATTATTTATTATACTAATACAAATACAATACAAATATGTGTGAGGACTTTCTAGTTTACTTGTTTGGCTATGGAAGCATATTATGGAGACCTGTATGATCACTGTTGATTAATCAATATCATTCATTCAAAGTAGACTAACATTACTTCTATATAACATCCATCATTATATCAATAATACAGGGTTTCCCCTTCATCAGAAAGTTCAATGCCTATATCAAAGGCTATAAAAGAATGTTCTATCAAGGTAGTACTGATCACAGAGGTACTCCCGTATGTAGATAATTATCTTGTTTTAATCAATGCATCAGTCAGTACTAACATCATCAACAACAAAAACAACAACATTATAGGATGCACCAGGTCGAGTAGTAACACTTATCAAACAACCTGACGACTATGAAAAGGATGATTGGATCACTTGGGGAACTGTTTACTGTATTCCTGACGAAGAGGCAGAGGTGATACTGAAGAATTTGGACTATCGCGAGAAAGGTGGCTATCAACGAATAGAGACTGACATATTTATTAATGGCAAGGAAGGATCGCATGGGTATGTATCCGAGGTAGACCCTTTGCAATCTAGCATCATTACTATCATCAGTTGGAGGAATTCAATGTCTTACATTCGCAACTGCTTCAAACATATCATTAGAAAAGCGATTCTCTATGTAGCAACTACATTGAACGAAGAGTACTTGGGCGATGACACGATGGACAACATAGCCAATCAAATATTCCGATCAGTAGGTCCAAGTGGCAGGAACCTCGACTATCTTCTCAAACTGGCTGCTAGTCTTAGAAAGATGGAGGTCAGTGACGAACACGTGTTTGAACTCGAGACAAGGGTGTTGGAGATGATGCGCATCCACAACATCCCCTACCACCATGAGGGAAAGACAAACGGCATGACGGCCGACTCACCCCTCACTGCCACCTCAAGCAGCAGCAGTGACATTGTTGCATCAGAGACTCTAATGCTTCAGAAGAAGTACTTTGTCGAACCGAAAGGAACACTGGTCATTGATGACGGCGCTGTTCAGGCGATCAGTCAGCGTGCCAAGTCATTGCTTCCGGTTGGTGTAGTACAAGTGATTGGAGAGTTTGACTGTGACTCACTGGTATCGATTATGGACTTAAATCGCCAAGAGATATCCCGTGGTATTTCAAACTACAGCAGTAAAGAGCTGTCATTGCTCGTTGGCACTCACTCTGGTAAGATCATCAGTGTCCTTGGATTCTCCAGAGGAGAGGCGGTTGTTACCAACAAGAATTTGATTCTGGTATGATGACCTACATACCATCCATACACACTTAATGTCCAATGACATGCTTGTATCACCATAAATAATAATAATAATAATAATAATTTATTAGAACAATACCTTCTTCTCATATCGTATACATATGGATTACTACCTATGAATGTTGATTGACACAGTGTTGTACTCCAATAAGGTGGTGGTGTACTCCCTTATCTTTATGTGGTGTTGCCAACCAACTCTCTCTCTCTCTCTCTCTCTCTCTCTCTACCACCACACACGCCAGGATTGGTGTGTGATATACTTATACCTAGATCTAGGTATAAGTATATATCTGTTTTATAAGTGTGGGGTGTGTGTTATATATAACTACCTCTAAACGATCGTAATGTTCGTGTTGGGTCATATGATCTTGTCGTCCTGGCGTGTGTATTTATAATTCGACACACACATAAACATACACACTTTAGAGGGAATATCTTGATTAAGAAGGGGTGTGAGTATATGTGTGTGTGTGACATATCGTACATGTACGTGTAACAACACGAATTCAATTGACACTTTGACATCTAGAATCTTATCTCAAGAAGGAAACTATCAATCTCCTACAACTTCCAACAATTTATCAATCTCACCAACCTACGCCAAGTCATCACCAATAGACACCCAGCAGCATCTAGACATAGCACCAACCATCACTTTGCGTAACATTCAATCAATCAATAACAGATTGACTGTCTACAAACTCCAATCTGCCTGGATTTTGTGTCACAGACATAACCAAACAATTACCCGCTACAATTGTAAGTACACCACCATCCACCTCTAAGAGGTGCCTGACTCTGTACCCATTTGTCCCAGTGCTTTGTAAAGCACTGTCGTTGTTGTTGTCCTACCTTTCTTTTATCCAAACTGTCCTGTCGTTGTTGTTGTTGTCCTTTAACACTTTGGATCGCACTTTGTCCTTTGATTAATCAACAATCACTTTATATCTTGTTATAACATCTTGAATTATAAAGAAAAACTATACTAACATTTAAATTATTTATTATTTATTTATTTATTTATTTATTTATTAATTATTAGGAAGTGAATATGAGTCTAATTGAAGGCGATAATATGTACAGCTTGTTTCCGGCTCAAGAAATTGGTCTGGATTTCACCAATGGATTGGTACCAGACAGTCCCAACAACAAGTATGGATCGTGTCCAAACGGAAACCAAATCAACAACACGATTCAATACTCAAACCTATGTCCATCTGGAACGATGTTCAACAACAACATTAACAACAATCAATACAACAATCAAAATAATAAGAAGAATATTATGATCTATCCTCAACAAATACAACAACAACAACAACAACAGCAACAACAACAACTTCAAATTCAACATCAAATGCTTCAACATCAACAACAACAACAAATTCCAAACGTCCAAAAGTATGAACTACCAGACAGCATGATGAGTAGTGAACCAGACTATATTGGAAACATACCTACACATCAGAACATGGTAGGTGGAGAGGATCAACTCTTCACATTATTCCTTACAGAGAAGGACCATACAAACAACCAAGAGTACCTTTGTAATCAAGGAAACAACATAATGATGCAAAACATGTGCTCAAACAGTATGTATTCTTAAATCATATAATTGAATCAACAATATCTAACTAATAATAATAATAATTAGACTACAATCCTGCAGTAAAGCAAGAGGATAACTATAGTTGTACCAATGGGATAGTGCCAGACTCATCCAATTCACAACCCAACTATTTGAATGTCAGAAAGATGGATTACCTCAATGAACCTCTTAAACAACAACATTAGTAACTATCCTACTCCTCCATTCTTTATCAACCAATACCCCTTTGACCAATCACTAACATGTCTCCAATTGTTTAGTTTTGTTCCTGAATCAGTAGTAGACATGCCCCATCAAATGACTATGAACAATAATAATAATAATAACAACGGCCATTCTTCCAAACAGTAAGTCATAACAATCAAATAATGATCCAATAACATTGAATATACTAATACTATAATCAGCTCCTCAAAGTCAAAGAAAAAGGAAGAGGAAAGCAAGATGAAGAAGAGAAAGTTCATCACATCTACACCAGTCAAGAGTGAGAACGGTACTACTCTTGTTCCAACTCCAGATGGAAGTGTAAATGTTGAAGAAGAGAGACATATGAAGAGACAAAGAAGGTATGTTAATCAAGTTGAAACCAGAGGTTGATTGTATAATTAACATCAATTTCCTTTCCTTTCCTTCAGACTTGTAAAGAATAGAGAGGCAGCTCAACTATTCCGACAAAGACAAAAGGCCTATATTCAAGACTTGGAAAAGAAAGTATCCGATCTATCATCCTCCAACAATGATCATAGGGATAAGAACGAGTTATTGTCCTCAGAGAACAAGCTCATCCGAGAGCAGGTTATGTATTTGAAGACCTTTATCACCAATGCCGTATCATTCTCAAACATGTCCAAGGGGGCAATGGGTAGTCCTACCAATGGTGCAGACTACAACACCAATGTTCAACTTCAACTTCCTCCAGGACTGTTTCCTCCCGGCCTAATGAACGTCCAGAATCCATCCTCTGTTATGACTGCAGTGGCAGAGGCAGCCAAATCAGCCCACTATCGTCAGAACATCAACTCGATAATGTCCATTCCCTCCCCACCCGCTCTAAGTCTCCAGACTCAACAGGTTCCATACCTCAACCAGAGCACACCACCTCAACAAAACATATCACCCCTCACCGGAGTACCAGTGGTGATAGGCAATGGCAACGGTGGCAACTGTGGAGGAGGAAGCAGTGGACATAGTTCACTCTCAAGCTCACCTCAAATGAGGTGATAATAAACATTAATTTATTAGCACTACAAATAATATGTAATAAGATCAAAAACGACTACTTTTGAACTCATTCGTTCGACTGTTCAACACACAAAATGTCAGAGATAGATACAAAATTGATGGAGACACCTGTTGTTGTGCCTGTTACAGACACTCCAATGGCAACAACTACAACTACATCAACGACAACAAAAGCCAACAATGACAACAACAACAACACTACCAATTATCAGACAAAGAGCGAGATTCCACCTCACAAGAACAGAACCGAGGAGTCAGTTGGTATTCAATGCTTCTTGGGAACATCACGTCCTTGGACAGGTATACTTAAACAAAGATATGATGACTTTATTGTAAATGAAATAGATTTAAGTGGACGTGTCATCACTTTGAACTCATTGTCTGCTCCAGCAGTGGAGGAACAAACCTCCACCACACCAAAGGTAAGTCGGTCACTGCGACACCATGCACTACTATGCAGTCCACATTGCTTACAATATTAACATTGATGATCAAATTAGGAGGAAACACCTGTTGTTCCTGAACCAGTTGCACAACCACCACCTCCACAAGCTGATTTAACTCCAGAGCAATCACTTTTAGCCCTTGTCGGTGAGGAGCAATGCAAGGCATTCACCGAGTTCTTGGAGGTCACAGCAAAGGCCAATCCCAAGTCTACATTCCTGTTCAAAGAGGATCAAGACAAAGAGCACAGGACTGCCGTACATAAAGTGATCAAAGAGCAGTTCAAGCTCGTCTCAGAGACTGAGAAGTCGTGTGTAAAGGTGTTGGCTTCCTGGTAAGTGTATATGAACTGGACTGTAATCACCACTTGTCCACCATTCTAACACAACAAACACTATTAGTTCCGTCGACAAACGAGCCAACAATAACTCTAGGAGTTGGCCAGCCGATAGACCAAAGTATCTACAGTTTGTTCTATACAAAGAGAACAAGGAATCAATGGATGCCTTGAATATCGTCTCAAAGATGCTCAAGTAAGTGTTGTTGGCGTCAACATCTCCTTTTATAAAGTATAACACTAAACATCAACAACAACTATAGATCTGGAACAAAGATATTCTCAATGGCAGGTACAAAGGACAAGCGTGGAATCACAACCCAGAGTGTTACTGTATTCAAACAAACAGCAGAGAGGATTGCAGGTCTCAACAACCGTCTCTACGGTGTCAAGTGTGGCGGTGATTTCAAGTACGTCGATCAACAACTCCAACTTGGTGACCTCACTGGAAACAGGTTCACGGTGGTCATTCGCGACATCTCTGCTGATGATGAACTGGTGGCCGACTCTGTGGCACAGTTCAAAAAGACTGGATTCATCAACTACTATGGACTACAGCGCTTTGGAACTGGCTCCATCAGCACAAACGAAGTGGGCAAGGCCATTATCCGTGGAGAATGGCAACAAGTGGTCAATCTGATATTGTGCCCACGCGAGGGTGAGCGACCTGATTTGCAACAGGCACGACAGGCCTACAAGGACACTGGTGATATCGCACCACTTATTCGAGCCCTTCCTAGGTTCATGATGGCCGAGCATGCCGTCCTGAAGGGACTCCAGAAGGACAAGAAGGGATACCAGAACGCATTCAACAATCTTCCAAGAACCCTACGCATGCTCTATCCACACAGTTATCAGAGTCTCATTTGGAACAGGATGGCATCTGAGCGTATCAAGATGTTTGGCTTTGATAAGCCAGTGGTTGGAGACTTGGTGTCTGTTGGCGAACTCAAGAAGCCAGTCAACCAGGATGAGAGTGAGGAGACAAACAATGACATCCCAGACGACAGCACTGCAGAGGGCGATGAGGTTGGCGATGAGAAAGCAGAGTTCTTGATACAGCATGTGACAGAGGATGACGTTGCCAACAACAAGTACAGCATTGATCAAGTGGTGCTACCAATGCCTGGCAATGAAGTACAGTATCCAAAGCACAAGATTGGCGAGCGATACAAAGAGGCCATCGCAGAGGATGGCATCACAGAGTCTATGTTCACGAGCAAGACCAGAGTGTACAACCTTAAAGGTTCATATCGTAAGCTGATATCATTCGCCACCGACATTGAATACAAGGTGTTCCGATACAATGATTTCACCGCTCCACTTGCTCGCAAGGATCTGGACAAGTTTGAAGGAAAACCAGAACCAAAGGATATACCAAGTATGTTTCAATCCATCCGTCCAAAACAAATAACTGACAAATATTCATTCATTCAATCAATCAATCAATCAATCAATCAGACGGTCAATTTAGAGCACTACGCATCTCTTTCAATCTTCCATCTTCATCCTATGCGACAATGGCCTATAGAGAACTATTGAAACAGTCATCTGCACTTCAGCCACAGGTCGCCATGGGTGAGAACTCTAAACAGGCGTTCCATCAACAACAAAAACAGAAGCAACTACAACAAGAACAAGAACAACAAATATCAGTGGTGGATAACACCAACACTGGTGACCCTTCAACTTCACAACCAATCATTGGTGTCAAGAGGAAACTGGAAGAGTTGGATGAATAAATTTAATCGAACTACCGAATTTTCATTAATTTCAATAATTTTGTTTAGAATCACACCATCAACAAGCTACTTGAGAGTATTCATAATGATACACATTCAAACAAACTAGTTTACGTCATCATCAAATAATATTAGTAATAGAGTAACATATAGGCATTCAGGATTAGAAGGAAGAAGAACAAGAAGAAGAAGAAGAAGAAGAAGAAGAATGAGTCATAGCAATGATCCAAAACAGTTGAGTCCATCTTCAACTCAACACGCCACTGAAGATGAGAGACCAAACACTGACATTGCCATTGAGTTTGGCTACAGACTAAAGGACCTGACGTTCAATGATGCAATAGTTATCAACAAGTTGATGCACTTTGCCCGCGACAATATCAAAGCCTCTGCAGAGATTGCTGCTTTGGTTGAGGACAGGATTAGTAAGGTAAGTGTTGTCTTGATTGTCAATTTGTACACACAACCAATCTTCAGCTCACTTACTAATCAATAATCGATATCAACAACATATATATGTATAATGTTGAACCATTCATAACAACTCCTACATTTATACAACAGAGTACTTCTCACACTCAAAGACTTGCAACTCTTTACCTGATGGACTCGATAATAAAGAATGTGGGCAGAGCATATAAAACGATATTCGCCAGGGACCTTGTCAATACCTATTGTAGTAGTTTTGAGGCTGTCGACGATACCGTCAGGATATCACTACTCAAGCTCTATAACACATGGTCCGTCCACTTTGAACCTGCCCTACTGGAGCAGATCCAACAACGATTGGGCAATGAGGAGATGGCTCGCATTGGGGAGCTCATCAAGCTGTTGCCACCCAAGCAACCCAACAAACAGAACGTCCATCATCGACAGTCTCAACCGCCTCCACAGACCAAGCCACAGCAACCTATGCAGCGTCCACAACAACCACCACAACAGCCAATGCAACAGCCACAGAGACAGCCACAGCCACAGCCACAACCACAACAGCCAATGCAGCAGTTCAACCAACAACAGCGACCAATGCAGCCATTCAACCAGTCACCTTTGCAACAACCTCAACAACAACAAATGCATAATCCCATTCACCAAAATGTAAAGTGACACTTTATAAACATCTGCTCTAGCTACCTCATATTAGTTACTAACCATTAGATATATCTTATCACAGAGTCAGGACCCGAGGGTCAATAAAGGAAGTGCTCCTAATTACTTCAATGGTCAATTCAACAATAACAACAACAGTACCGCTGGCAACATCAATGGTCCCAGCAACATCAACAGGATGCCAATCAACAATATGACTCCAATGAACAACGCCATGAACAACAACGCCATCTACAACAATATGAATCCAATGTATAATAATATGGCATCTGGACCAATGGTGGGCATGGTCAATGGCATGGCACCCAACACCATGAACCCCAACATGATGTTGAATAACCATCAGAATTTCCCAATCAACAACAACAACATGATGGCCAACAACTTCAACAACGTCATGCCTACGAATAACCAAACGTTTGGTCATCTATCGTCGTTCAACGCCAGCTACAACAGCAGTGGACTCAACGGATGGAACACCGGTCCCGACTACCAACAAGCTGCACAGGATCAGAAGCAGCTCTATTCCATGACCGAGCAGATTGACCTTTTGGTCAGCAAGGAGCCAGACAATCACGAATTCAGGATGTTGTCGCAGGAGCTAAAGACTGCCATATTCCAACCCTACAATCCAATGAGAAATGACTACCTAAAGCAACAGTTTGCCAAACTCACTGCCAATAAACCAGCCAGTCCGCGAGTGATGGCTGAGGATGGCTTTGGCAGTGGCGAGGACTACCGAAGGTTTGTAAACATGTTGCATACTACTGCAGAGGGATGGACATCAACTAATCATGGGGTATTGTATCTCCAAATCAACAGGGACTATGATCCATTCCAGATACTTTACGGCGCACTTCCACTTCAATGTAAGACATGTGCTTTGAGATTCAAGGACAATGAACCCATGAGGAAGCACATGGATTGGCATTGGAGAATGAACAAGAAAGAGAAGAAGAAGAAGGAGAAGAAGCAAGCAATGTCGAGGGCATGGTACATTGAAGAGGATGAATGGATGCAGTACACCGCTGGTGAGACTGAGGTATATCATGAACAACCAGGTATGTATTATTATTTCATTTCGCTCATCAACTTCAACAACAACAACAACAAACTACAATCACAACAACAACAAACGACATCAAACAACAATATATCTCCACCTTCTTGGTGCTGGTACTTCCAGCATTATCACTGTGGCTACTTGCTACGGATGATAGAGGAACAACAAACAACAAAGAAAGTTCGACAACCTATCTTTATGATTGGTACACACACTCTCTTTATAATTATTTGAAGGTTGTCCAGTCTTGGTTATGTTTCTACTTGCTGGAATGAATAATTTATATTTATATAATCCAGTGAGCGAATTTACCAGCCTGGTATTTACTACGTTGTCTTTCTTTCTTTCCATCCCCACTCCCTCCAATCACATTCATCACAACAATGTTCAATCCCAATCAACACGGTATGCGTTAAAGTAAATAGATATAAATATTAATACAACATTGTTTGTCTTTGACAACAACTACTATCAAATAGCATTACCATTCCTTAATAACAGACACAAGAAGGAGGATGACCAAAAGCCCCTACCCAACATGGTGGCCGATGATGACCAGCCCGAGTGCCCCATCTGTCGTGAGAAGTTCGACAAGTTCTGGGATGAGACCAATGAAGAGTGGATGTACCTGGCGGTCGAAATAAACGAGAGGATGGACAAGATCGTACATGTCAAGTGCAACGGAACGCCTGACCAGGCCGAAACTGGCCTCTCATCACCCAAGCCAGTGTCCATGGAAAAGAAACGCGACTGGGACGACTCCACCYTTTGATTCACCTACAGACCTACCTGGCCTAAACGGCGAGAGGGATACCAAGAGAGTAAGGAGTGACTTTYCAAAGTTGACCTCTCAGTCGTACGTACCACTTGGCAATAAATAAACAATGATGTGCACGCATAGCTTTAGCGCTACATGATAATATTGTGATGATGTACTTTTAATTTAATATTGGACCATGGTGATGCTCGCTCAATGGAGCTTTTTCTTGGCCGCTCTATTGTAGAATCCATAGTAGTAGACTGATCCAATGACAGAGACTGACAAAAATAAGTACCATGGGTACTTGACCATTGGAGGGAATGGGATCTCCCAGAACATAGCTCCGCCATACTTAACACAGATGAGCAGCTCGACGGCGATAATTGCAATGACGATCCATGCCATTGGTCCCAACTTCTTGGTTTGCTTGTCAGAAACAAATTGGTAGTATTCACGAAGGGCAGGTGTTCCGATGAACAACAACAACACCAGTCTCTGAACGTTGATAATGTGAGGTGGAGGAATCCACAACAGTGTCTTTAAGAAGAATGCATTGAGTTCAATCAATGATACCTATATAAGTGTGTATATGTTGATTGTAAGGATTGGTGTGTATTGTTGTGCTTTGATTGTAATGGAACTTACCAAGACTACTACGAATATGTAGTGAAGGAATCTCTTCCAATCGGATGCGATCTGCCAGTTGTAGTCCTCATAGTGAACTGGAGTGAACTGCTTGAGGGCGCGGGCAAGAATGTTGCGCTTCTTCTTGATCTTCTTCTCCTCGTTACCTGCCCACTTGTACTCCTTCATCTTTAAGTACTTGATCGTCAACACTCCACAAACAATTCCAAGTGCATTGCATACCAAGATGTCCAAAATAATCTAAGAGGTAAGGTAGGTCAAATGACCTAAGTTAGACATGAATCATCGGTCGAACATATCTCGTACTACTTACATGATCCCACCAACACTCATGGAAGTTTGGTAGCCAATGGGCAAAGGTCAACTCGAGGATCTCAAAGGAGATTGACAAGGTCCAGCAGAGAACAGTATCACGCATAAGGACAGTCTTTCCCCACCAGCCAAAGAAGTGTGCCCAAATGAACTCGTCATTGATTGTATCCATTAGGTTCCTAAAGCTTGACTTTGGGTCATTTGGTGTATAAAGGTCACAGTTATCGCCGTAAGATCTCTCTGGAAGAGGGACACCCAACTTTGGATCGATATGCTTCATCAATTTCCTTGCATCATCTGCAGACTAGTGTGATTTAGCATGGTGATGTGTTGTATTTGTTAGTATGTAGGTGAGTGATTGTCACCGTGATTGAGTACCTACCTGGAACAAAAGGAAGACCAACGAACATAGATAGATCACACCCATACCCATGACTACACGCCAAAAGGCTGGATGTGGACGAACAAACACACCATCTCTCATTTGAAGCATTGAGAACAAAAGGAATGCTCCACATGCTCCAAGAAGTCCACTGCCATTCATTCATTAGTGCATTATCAATGTTATATCGTAGTAAGGTGGTTGGTACATACGTCTTTATACTTGTGTCTGAAGATTGATCCTTTGTAAATGCAAAGTATACAACGACTAAACCAGCGATGACCATTGTGAGGATGCTGTGAGGCTTTTTGACAAAGCTCATACTGTCATACTCCTCGCTGTTGAGTCTTGTCTGTCCACTCGGTGTGAGCATGTACTTTGGCTGCCTCATGTGTTTGGGTACTCGATGATGTACGTTGCCACTGTGTGTCTCGTCAGTGTCTGTGTGAACATCTGTTGGGTCAATGGCAGGTGAACGAGAGTCGACTGACTCTGTCTGCTGTTGTTTCTTTGGACTCTTCATCATTCAAAACAATCTAGTTATGAAGTAATATAGAGATTGATAGATATAAAGATAATAATAACTTAATGATATATAGAATGACAAACAATAATAAAGACACATCTTACGTCATGGGAACCTGGCCTTTCGGGTCCCATCCTGACATAATTTCCATTGAAAGATCAAAATTAATTAATTAAAAATAAATAGACGAGCGTTGGTACAAACTGGACTTGTTGTCTTTCAACTGATTAGCTTTGTTGTGCATCATCGTACAAAGTGAAGGAGGAGGAGCACATCTCGAGACTTGTTGAACGTTGTTGACTTATCACATTCTTTTGGTGGTGACAATTGTACCAGTATCATGACCATTCACCAATGGTGTGTGATACGAAACAAAATGTTGTTTGTTGTTGTTATTGTTCTCTCTATCTCCCTTTACATCATTAGTATTATTTGTTATAACAAATCATGGAAGCTTAAGATCATCTTCAATTTCATTCAGCAGCAGTGACTTCATAATCAATACAATAATAGAAACATTGATACACAATTGTGTTCATCTGTTGTTGCAGCTGGCGATTAGGAGAGAATACAATCTAGAGGTCTTTAATAACCAAGCCAATAATGATGAGTAAGTTTTGGATTCATTCATACATCTATTATAGCTTCTCGTAACTTCTACAGTGCGATGAATATATTCATCTCTGGAGAATATTGCCGAATTACATGTATCGAAGATCCAAAGAACCAACCAATTGCAGAGAACTTCTCCGAACATTTCTCGTTAACCTAGGTGTTAGTCTATGCGCTTCAGGAAGAGTCGCACCCTTGCATCCTCATTGGGTTGTTCGTCATCATCGCTCTCAAACCACCTTCCATTTTAGAGTTGACGTGTGTTTTTTGAAATATCGATTATTTAATTTGAATTATTTATTTATTTATTTGATATTCGAACTTACTACTGTCCATCCCCGAGATCATTGTTCCCTTGATCATCAAACACAACAACAGCAACAACTCCCAATTTTCAAAAATAATATAATTATAATTAATTAATTCATACCCCTACCAGTCAATCAACAGGCCTGGGAGTCACTCACTTTTTTTTTTTAACACGCACACACTATCTCTATCTCACGTTCAAACACACAAGACTACACAGTCCGTTTGTTGCAACAAACACATTTGGGAAATTAGGAAGAGAGAACATAATATTATTATTAGCGATATAACAATAGTTCCATCTTTGTAACCAATCAATAATAATCAATCAAACAATTATTCAATTATTCAATATCACTTCAATTCAATTCACATCGATTCATTATTTTCAAGACACCGGTGATATTACATTTAGTTTAAGGATAGCAACAACAGCAGTAACAGCGGCGGACGGATGTACATCACTTCTTCTTCCAATATTTCTTCCTGTATGCAACATACATATTTTGTAGTGGACATTCATTCCTTCAAAGGAGAAACTAACATGTCATCGTCGCGTTCAACAGATAACACTGTCAATCCGTTTGGACAGCAGCATATCTTACTAAATCACCATCATCGGTTCAACCAACATGTAGGCCCAAACTCATCGTCGACGACGACAACAACAACAACATCATCAACCTCATCCTATAAGCTAAAGAGGATAGACGAGCCTGAGGGGAACAATAATTGTGCCTCTGAGACTTTAAACAATTTTGAATTGGATGACATCAATACCTTTGAGATCAAGACTACCAATATTAGAGACCATATCAATAAGTTTGTCTATAATCATGGAGTGGAGAAAGAGTTCTATGTAAGATTATTATTATTATTTATTATGGCGACACCATACTAATTAATTATGTATATAGTTTCTAGAGAAGAGGACAGAGAAGGATCTATTACATGGAGACTTTAGAACTGCTTTGAAAGAAGAGAATAAGATGAAGAATAGATATATTAACGTCTTGCCAGGTATGTTTACACTGCCAGGAAGTAAACAAATTGTTCACATCTAACAACAAACAAACGATAATAGTTGAACCACATAGAGTTAGACTTTCTGTAGACTCTGATGATGAATCAGAGGGATCAGACTATATCAATGCCAGTTACATTAACGACCCACTCAGTAAGAACAAAGAGAAAAAGTATATTTGTACACAGGGACCCTTGGAGAACACATTTAACGATTTCTGGAAGATGGTCTGGGAGGTAAAGAGTAACATCATTGTGATGCTGACCAAGGAGGAGGAGAGCAACATAAAGAAATGCGACAGATACTGGATAGACGCCGGCTCCAAGGACTATGGAAACATTAGAGTCCAATTCGACACAAGCATAGTTTTACACGAGTTCATCCAACGATACTTTACCTTAGAGAATTTAAAGGTAATGTTATTCTTAATGCCAACAACAACAACAACAGAGAGGACATGTTAATTAACCCATTTGTCAACATCAACACTCTCCCTCACAGACTAAAGAGAAACGTAGAATCATCCACTATCAATATATCGCATGGCCTGACCATGGTACACCAGTTTCAATCAAGGAGTTTCTAAACCTGATAGCGGCTGTCGAGAAGGAACCAAAGACAGGCCCTATTATTGTACATTGCAGGTTAGTATTCAGTAAATGGAAAGTGGGTCCAGCATAAACTAACATACTACCTACTACTTACTACAGTGCTGGAATCGGAAGATCTGGTACATTTTGTGTTATTCATTCAGTGGTCACCAACTCGATTAGTGGCGGAGGTGCAGACAGCAACGTTGTCACACTAAACATTCCAAAGATTATCGCCAATTTCAGAAGTCAGAGGCCAGGCATGGTGCAGAATAAGGAACAATACAGGTTCTGCTACCTTGCTATTGCCGAGGGCACCACTTCACTGGAGCAACTTCGCAAGGGAAGGAGATCACTTTCATACTCAATAAACTAGTTTATATAATAATAATGAATGATCATTGAACACTATGTTCTGTGCTCACCGGTGCGTCTTGTTGTTGTTGCGTGGTAGTATTGACTTTTGGAACAACAGTTGTATCCAACTCGCTGAATCTACATGTGTCTGGATCAAAGGAAAGTGGTATGATTCCACAATGACCAGAGAACCTATTCTTCTTGATGTCAATATATCTAAAGTTCTTTCCATTCTGCATTATGATTACATTGTCCGCTTCCTGCAATGAGTAAGAGTGAGAATGAGAGAGTCAGTTATCACAAATTGTTTGAGTGTCCAGCTGTCATGTATAATACTTACTTGAGTTGCTTTGGCAGTACCAAATATATCATTGATATTTAAGGGTATGCCAATGTCCTGCTTCCTTGGATGGATGACAACAGTGATGTGTACATTCTTTTGTGTGGCAAAGTGTCTGAGTTTCTCGATCGACTCATCCATGTTCTCGAATCTCTCCACTCCCTTGCTCTGACCACTGAGCATGAACTGGAGGTTATCCAGTACAATGTGCTCCACATCATGTACATATACGGCGTACTCCATGGCATCGAGTACCTTGTCAATGTGTGTCGAACCATAGAAACGTAGGAAGTACATTGGCAGTGTCTCGAATTCATCGGCCATCCTATTGTACTCCTCTACTTTGTCCTCCAGATTGACACCAGTGTATTGCCCCATCATCTTCTTGGCCAGTCTTGCAACCTTGATCTCGAAGCTACCCCATAGAGTGCGTGTACCTTGAGTGGAGAAATCCAAAGACAGTTGAGAGAGTAGTGTTGTCTAGTTTGTATCATGAACTATGTTAGAGATAGGTCGTTGTTGTTTAGGTAGTTTGATCCTTACCTTTCCAATACCAGTTGGTCCCGAGAAGATGGTGAGCTCACCCTTACGATGACCTTTGAGCAACTTGTTAAAGGTTGGGAACCACTTGCTCTTTACACCATTGACCGATGCTGGATTGGTCAGCTCATTGTATATCGATGTTCTCACCAATGAGAAGTCGCATATCTGATCATGTGGAACATTGGCGGCGGTGGACAGTATCGCAGAGAGGTTCTTTCCTTGTAGCAGTGCATCGTTTGCATCTTTAGGACCATCATCCTGACCCTGCTTTGTTTTGATGATGAACGTTCTCTGGATGCCAAGCTTCTCGGCGAACTTTTGTGCGCCTTCCTGTCCAATGACATCGTCGTCCATCCAAAGATATATCTTCTCAAAGCGCTCCAACAATGGCAACAGTGCAATGGGTAGAGAGTTGGCACCATTCGGGAGTGATATTGTTGGCATGCCTGTGGCTTGATGTACGGCCATGGCATCGTATTCACCCTCTGTCAGTACAATCTCTTTGGCATCGGCGGGTATTGTGTGCCATCCAAAGAATCCCCACTTTCCACCCTTTGGTTCTATTCTCTGGAGAGCCTTCATGTTGACCGCTCTCAACTTGCATCGATGTGTGATTACATTGCCCTTCTTGTCCAAGCTTGTCCATGGAAATGTGATACACTTTTGATCTTGCCAACCATCCTCCACAAAGAATGATTGATTAGTGACACCAACCTGATACTTCTTGCAAACTTCCAATGTCAATCCTCTCTCGCCTGTACCCTTTCCAGTTAACTTGGTGCTGTGATTGATTGATTGATTGTCAGTTATAGTATGTGACGATCCAAACTACAACACTTACATGACATCAGGATGTTTGTCCAACTCTGCAGCATATGTAGCCATCCTTTTAATATCAGCAATGGTAGTGGTAACATCATGTGCGTCCACTTCATCACCAGTGGTTGATGATATCTGCTTGAGGGATAGATCACCGAGGTTGGCCTTGAAATCGAACCATGATCCCTTGTTTGAACATCGATGACAAAAGAATGTGCTGGTCTCTCTTGATATATATAGCTTCCACAGGTTGTCCAGCTTACCCTTTGTGTCTGGACACATTGGACACTCTTTGACAACGATCTATATATTGATGTGCTAAAGGGTTATCATCATGTTGTTGCTGTTGGCCGTGTTGTGTTGATCGACCTACCTCATGTCCACTGATTCTATAGAGTAACTTCTTCCTGTCGAGATAGCTAAGTACATTCTCTTCATTGACCTTGTAATATGAAGATACGAATGTCTTGTCATTGTTGTTGTTGTTGCCAGTTGTTGTTGTTGTTGTCTTTGGAGATGACCTAGACACACTACTACTTGGCTTGTCAATCTTTGGTGGCCATGATATTGTTGGACTGTCTGTTGGCTTTACATTGTTGTTGTTGGACTGCTGAGTAGTCGTGGAGGATGATGATGGTGATGGTGATGATGGTTTTGAGATAACCTTTAGAGTTGGTGACCTCTTGGGTGGTGTTGTAGTTGTGGTCGTCGAAGTTGTGGTGTGTAATCGTGCATTATTGAGTATTGGATGTTGTTGGTGATACACTGCAGTGTACAGTCTGCGATATGAGTATCTTAACATTGCTATTGATTAGTTATCTGTACCATCTATCTATCTTTGAATGAATGAACGGTGGTTAGTCTTTTCGTGTGTGTTATTGTTGTAAACTTAGATCTTACTGTTCATTCATTCGATCTCATGTCTTTCAATCTTCTACAAATATACAAACACGTAATATATACATGTTATAGCAGATGAGATGGCAGGAAAGAAAGGAAAGAAGAAGAAGCAACAACAGCATCAACAACTGCAGTTCAATGAACTAAATAATGAATCACCTCTGTCCTCTTCAAGTACAACTACTACGACTAGTCTACAACAACAACAACACAATGAGAGTGTCAACCTGCTTAGCAACTTAACGTTGTTCCCGCATCTCCACAAGAGACGTGAGACACACTCATACATAGACAAGTTCGAGTTCAACAAGAGCACCGGTGTCAAGTGCAGTTCAGCATTCTATCTACACGGTCAACCATGGTCCATTGTGCTGAGGTCACCATTGCCACAGGATCCCGACGTTCTTCATGCCTATCACGACAAACACATCTCCATCTTCCTTGTCGCCGTCGAGACAAAGCCACTATCGGCTCGCATCGACTTCTCAATAGACATTAGACCCAACAACTCAAAGTCCAATGCCAGTCGATCCTCTGCCTTTTCACAGTATGCAACAAAGTGTAAGGTCTACATCCTCCTTTGTGACGCTGCACATACAGTCCAGTCTCTAACTCTCCCTCCAATACAACATAGACACATCATTCGAGATCACAAGCCAATGCGCATATACTGGCTTCCAGAACTTCATACGACTAGGCGATTACAATGACATGTCTGCACTCAGTGATTCATTTGTGATCACCATCAATATGGACGCCGTCGTGGACAATGATTCAATGTTTGGCAAACGTAGCTATCTCGAGTCGGTCATTTGCAAAGCTAGTAGTCTGTTGCAGATTGAGCATAATATCTACGTTTCATTGATGCTCTCTTTCTACTTTATGCCCATTCTGCGGCGTGCTATGCTCGAGTTGCCTCGCACCACCACCAACGTTTGGGCCATGGAGCTTCAAAGGATCATCTACCAGCTGTCCAAGGATCGTCCCGTCGTTGACAATCGCTTCGCTCAGGCCATCAACTTCTTTAGCTACTTCTACATGACACCCTCACCTCCACTGACAGAGACGCACAAGGAGTATGAGTTTGACACCATCCTACAAAAGACACTGGCACAGGCAATCTCTTGTAGCTTGCCACAACAACAGACCAAACTAAAGTATTACCTATGCTTTGGTAATAATGATGAAACAGAGAGTGTATATAGTAAGTTAGTGGATATTGATCAACCAGCAAGATGCAGTGTGATTAACCTTGTGTCGACACGTCCCTCCATCGCCACCCACCAGCGATCAACTTGGACAACAAAGTAATCAGTGGAGATATGGTTACTTTACTGCGGAATAGTAATAGCCAGCTTAGATTAATCGACCTCTTCCCATCAGTACTCTTTGTCAGTCTACCTCGATTGTTCATTGATGAGAATAACAAGACGACAGAAGAGTCAACAACAGCATCACCTGGATTCATCCCATATGAGAATCTGCGGCGTGCCGAAATAGACTTCCCCGAGGACTTCTATTATGACCAGGTACTTCAACCGGACGAGGACATTGACCAACGATCCAGCGAGAATCATTATGTACTATACAGTGTATGGATGCACGAGCATCCCGAAGACGACTATCAAGGCACCTACTATACATTCCTGCGGCCTCTCGATCAACCGCACTGGATCAAAGTCAAGGGTGACTGTGTTGAGGAGGTATCCTTCAAGTATGTCAGCAAGATGGGAATAGGTCCAGGTACAGATCGATTCCCCTATGGTGTAGACATGGTCACTTTGAATGGTAGAATCTCAAGAAACTACTCATATGCATGTAAAGTATTATGTGGTTCGTGGCATTGCTAGGCAATAAGATAACTAACTACCCTGCCACACATAGACATGTTGGTCTATGTACTAGAGTCAGAGATGAGGAATGTATTTAACGAAGAGGATAACAAGTTCACTGTTGACCTTGATCATATGTAAGTGAAGTCGATGTCTCCTAGAGAATCAAAGTCTAACACTTTTTATCAATAATATTCTATTAGATTATCAAACGAGAAGGATAAGCCATACTTTAACTCTGATATCAAGGAGTTACTCAATCCATTGTCAAACGAACAACATTCACCATCTGTGAAACAATCACAGACATCATCATCATCAACTTTGAAAGCAACTCCCTCTCCACCTCCCAAAGCACCAGCATCATCACCATCTGGGAAACCATCACAGACATCATCATCATCATCACCATCACCTTTGAAAGCAACACCCTCACCACCTCCAAAGGCAGCCGACGCTTCGCCACTATTATCGTCCTTGGTACCTCAACAATCTGGTTCCAGAGCATCAAAGAAGAAAAGGTCTAGTGGAGGAGGTGGCGGTGGTGGTTGCGATATCAATGAAGAGCTATTTAGAGGCACACCACTCAGCAAGCTACTCTTTCCAATAGCACAACTGGACCAAGAGACATTAATGAAGATTCACAGAAGGAGCGACAATGACAGTGATGATGGTACCTCAGAGAATGACGACTTTGATGAAGCAATGATGCAGCATTTGACCGACGCCACTCAAAATTGGTTGACTGGTGGTGCTGGTGGCGATCACGACACTGATGACTCAGCACTCAACCATAAGCTAATGGAATGGCAATCACAACTGGCAAGGATGCAGAAGCAGTTCGAAGACAAGGTCAATGAGTTGGAGATGACACTTAGTGAGAGTCGCCAGATCACAAAGCAAATGGATCTGACAAAGAAGGAGCTGGAGCAGAGTCAGCGGGCAATGGAGCTGACCAAGAAGGAGATGGACACACTGTCAAAGTCTTTGGAGATCATTGCCAAGGAGAAAGAGGAGATGAAGAAGCAAAACGAGCAGTTGAGCGAGAAGCACAAGAAGGCGAGTAATCTGAACGATATTCAAAGAAAAGAGTTGGACACCCAACGATCACAACTGGCACAGTACACCAAGCAGAGCGAGTCGTTTAAGAATTCAATGGCCAAGATATCTCAGACCAATATGGAGCTCGAAAAGGAGGTGGAAACTCTTCGTCAGACCGTCAAGGAGGAGTGTGAGCTCCGAGAGCGAGAGCAGAGTGAGACCGGTACATTGCGGAAGCAGTTATCAGAACTACAGCTGGAAAACCGCCGACTTTTAGGCGACCAAACTGCTCTTTCGGCAATGGACATGAACCAGTTGGTGAACCTCAGTCAGTTGGTTGGCAAATCACTGTACACCATAAACGAACAACTGGTATGTATTTGTTTATTTCCATTTCCATTTCCAAATTCCACCATCCATTCAAATCACATCCTGCTACAGCTGCTGCTGCTGTCAACATCATCACATTTGATCTGCAGCTGTAACCGTCTTAAAATACACTCCACCCTGCCAATGACATATTACTTGTACTTTATGTACATATATGTACAAATTCATCAACAACAATAAGAGCAAAAGGTGGTCGAAACATCTCCAGACATATCTAGAGGCAGATTGCATATGCGATACACGTTGTGGGTGTCATCGCAACACACCCCTTCATTCATCTGCCCTTAATGCTGCCACCACCATCATTAATAACACACACAAGCAATCAATCATACACGAAACAAACACACACACTCACCAAACAAACACACTCATTCACTCAAATGGAGTTGAGTTCTATTGCCATTTGATCGATCAGGCACCCTATGTCCACATCATACCCATCATCTCACTCAATTTAAACACTGAAGTGCGACACTAGTAGCAATAACAGCAACAATAACAACATCAACAACATCCAACAACAACAGCAACCAACAACAACTGACCATATGATGTACGCCCATAGATACAACTCAAGAGCTGTGTGATTTGCATGGAGAGCTGCCGGAACATATGCTTCACTCCCTGCGCCCACATGGTCACTTGTCACACCTGTGCCGAAGTGCTTAACAAGTGTCCCATGTGTCGAAAGCTGATCACAGCCAAGATTAAAATCATAGACAGCTGAGGAGATGATGGCTATCATTTACGCAGTATGGCCGCCCATTTGGACAGGTATTGCCAAAGCGGGCGAGGGAGGGTGCGTCCCCCGCTTCTGAATCCATCCATGCACCGGATCCCTCATCCACTACTGCTACGCTTTGTTAATATTCGAACATCCCCATCCGCCCATTGCCTCCCTCCCCTACACAAAACCATAGGTTTATTTCCAACTACCAATGGACCATCGGTCGATTGGGAGCACGCCCCTTGGCAGCATACATTTAACGATCAGATACAATGTATTGTCACTCAAGTCATACATGTCTGGTTGGTATAAAAGGGTGTTGTTTTGCATACCCTTTAAATCAAGTAGTAGAATAGTTAGATTACTTATCAATATCTCCTTCCAATACCTTATATTATTTCAATATTACCTAATATTACCCATTATCTTCCTTTTATTCATTGGATCATCATTAACATGTCATCCATTACCACCAACAACAAACTGGCAATACTCTGCATTCTTCTGCCATTCCTTTTTATTGGATCATCCGATGCCTCCACTGTCATGCTCCGACGTTATAGCAATAATGATTGCACCGGTACAGAACTCATGGTGGCCTATACATATCTATCGTCCAGTGTCACAGACATTCTAATGGCTGGAACCAGAATGGATTGCAATACCAACGGATGCACTATATCTGCCTGTGATTGTCCGTACAATTGTCCATCTCCATATTTCCTCTCATTCAACACCTGTAGCAATGGTGTCAGACTGGATACCAACGATAACATAACCTCATACACATATCCCAAGATGATGAACGCGTATGTACATTAATATCCCGATCAATCAACATTTTCTAACCATGATTGTTTTGTCCACATGTACAGAATGGTAAAGACATCAACTGGATGCAGTCTATTCTACAGTGGCCTGTTACCAAAGACGAACCAGTGCATGGCCAACTTTGTGGGAGTCAATTACATTTACAAGGTAGTTGGCAGTACGATCACCTACTATGGTAAATGCAACAGTGACTGTACCTCATGCGCCACACAACAATCACTGAACTCTGGCACGTGCTATATGGTCTTTTTCAATCAAGGAAATAGTTTGGCTACTATATTGTACAATCAGTAGGATGGACATAGCAGCACAATAAAGGCGCTACTACGCCCAGGCGCCTACTCCGACGACGTTGCTATTCTTTATTCAATCAATTGCTGCTTTGTTGATGATGAACACTTGGTTACACTGCTGATCCATTCATCAATCTCTGATTGACTGCTGCCACAAATGAGGAACTCCCTGTTCTCGGTGGACTCACGAATTGCCATACAGAAGGGCTTGTAGTAGGACTTTTGCACTGCGATGTTGACCAAATGGATGATACCCTTGGGCTTCTTGTCACGTGATGTCTTGAAGTAGAAGAGGTAGTTCTGCTTCAGAACGAACCATCGTTTGGTCCAGTTTCGTCTCATTGCTCCCTTCTTGGTAAGATAGCCTTGCTTGACAATCTCTCCCAACTGGATTGTAATGGACACGCCCTGTTTGTTGCCATCGAGTCCAGTGCCAAATGGGTAGCTCTCTTCTCCATCACTATCGCTGTCCTCAGAGACTACAGGGGCGGTACGACGAGAGATGGTGGGTGATGTATCTGGAGAGGATATGGCATGAAGTTTGGCGGAACGTCTATAGCCACTGTTATTGGCGGCGTCGCTCTGATACTGCTGCATCTCCTGTTCGACGCTGCTGAATATCACTTGGAATCCAGTCATAAAGGCTTCAACCAGTCCGAATATCGTGTTGAAGGCAGTGCAATCCAGAGGTGAAGCTCCCTTCTTACGAAGGAGAAGTGTGGCAAAGACGATACTGATGTTGTTTGGTGTCATCTTGTTGATTGATGATTGCTCGGCCACCTTGGTAAGCATTCGCATCAGATAGAATGTGCAGAACCTATTGAACTGCGGAAGCTTCTCCATCTCCGACTTGATTGCCAGGTACTTTTGTGACATTGGTGATACGTTGGCAATATCAACAAAGCTATCAAACTGTTTGTATGTGAGAAGAGGCTCTGGAAGGTTACGCACCCAGAGCTTCAATAGGCAGGCCACAGTGTGCACGTCCAACTCTGAGTAGTCCAGCTCCACGCCAGCCTCGATTTCAGATTTGGAAGAGTCCAGGATGCGCTGGTTGGCCGAAAGCCTAAAGACTCCTTCCTCAGTGCATCCATATTCGCTTAGGTAATCGATGATACGCTGAACGAATGAAGGGATGGGACGTCCCTGCTCAGATGGTCGAAGATAGAGTTGCTCCAGAGGGATGCCAAACAGCTTATTCTGGTTGATCTTGTAGCTGGCCTTGGTGATGGCAGACATCCAGTCGTCTCTAAGTGACTTGTTATCAAAGGTGAGATTGAACACTGTTGGGAGGTTGGCTGCGCCACAAGTGACCACGAGAGACCTGTCTTCCTTGGACTCCTTCACCTCCATATTGTTCTGTAGATCAATCTTTGAGATGTACTTGTACTTGAAGCCATGCGATGAACTGCTGTTACCGGCACTGCTGTTGTTGCTTCCACTATCATATGACAACATTGATGGGAAGAGTGCATTCTGTTTCTTGCACAGAATGATCAGGTCACTCATCAACAACATGTGCATGTTGGAGCTTGGAGCATTGGCACCTTGAGACACTGATGCACCACCCTCCTTGATAAGATATCGACCTTCCTGAACGAGCAACGCATCGAAACCTATCAAAGACTGTTGGAGCTTCATCATTTGAATGAGGTTGTGACTCTGTCCAACTAGATCGCCCAAGGTCTTCATCTTCTCTTGTGCCTCCATGATCATGTCCAACTCATCCTGATTGGCAGAGTTATCCTTGAGATCTTGAAGTATGATCAGGTAGCTTGTGACACGCGAGAGTGGCGTGGGGATGAGCGAGTCAAGGTCGGCACCATCCGACTTCTCCTCACAGGTCTTGAGGAATTGTTGGAAGTTCTTGGACTGCTTTACACGATTGATAGTATGTAGAGCCTTGGAGAAGTTGCCAATATACACAGAGTACAGTTGCATTAGCTTGGGTGATGCCTTGAAGAATACAGATGCCAATGTTGGTGCCGAGGGCTCGCCATACTGCTTAAGACAACTATCCAAGTCCTCCAAGAACTTGTTCTGGTGTGTAAGCAGTGCCTCAACGTTGGAGAATATGGCCACTTCATCCTCTTTGAATATCTTGCTAAACAGACGATCGTCTGTCCTCAGTGAGTTGAGGTAGACCTGCACAAGGGTGTTGAGTCCAGCAACATAGTTGCGCTCGGCAATGACGAATCTACGCACCTGGGTACGCTTTGGATCCTCGCCAATCACATCCCTCTCGAGTTCGGTAGAGGTCACTCTCTCTTTACCCGGCGCTGCCGTACCTAGAGAAGCGGCAACAATGGCAGGACTGTTAGCTGTGCTGATTGTCACCTGCTTCTGATGTTCGATGGCGCGGTCCAACTCAGATCGACGTCTTTGAGCCTCCTTCTTGTATTGAGCAAAGGATGGCTGCATTGAATCGAGTTGTTCGTGCAGCGCTTTTGCCATGCTCTGCAGACCCTCTACATACTCCACTACCTGCTCCATCATCTCCACAGAGTTGGAGTCGGTGGCCAGACGCACAGTGGCTTGGGTCTCGTTACCAACGATGCTGACTCGACCACGGAGGTAGTCACGCTCCTGCTGCAACTCGGCCTGACGCACCAAGTTCACACCCTTGCCCTTGGCCGTGTTGGACAGACACTTGGTCTCGAGATTGTCATACATTGATCGCACCTTGTCATAGTTCTTCTTTGAACTCCTCACCACCTTGATGTCCCTGGTGACGTACTGCTCGACGGCTGTGCGCAGTCCCGAGATAGACTGGATGTCACATCGTTGTCTAAACAGTTCGATATCACGATGAAGATCACCAATCTTGAACATGCACTGTCCCAGCTCATTATCCGATTGGGCAATGAGCATTGTGCCATAGTTCTTAAATGCCTCTGCCAAACTATTGCCCTCTCTTGACGTGGCTACGTTGTGGTACAGACAGGTCAGTTGTTAGTGAGTGAGTGAATTCTTGGGCACTGTCTTGGATTGGAACATACCTGTGCTCGATTGTGAACGCTTCTGAATCTTGTGATATATGTCATTGAGGTAGTTGTAGTTCTCCTCTGCAACCCTATTCTGTGTGATCATCTCGGGAAACTCCATTATGGGTGCACCTACATCCATTGAGTTTCGATTGGATGTCGCTGGGGATGTGTAGGCCGACTCTGAACTGGCACGCATTGGGTTACTGGCAATAGCGCCGGATGAATGTGGTGATATTGGCGATTGAGTAGGCAGAAGTGGTGGAGGTGTCTTGAAGTTGAGTGACACTGGTCTGGGCATCAATGGTGGCGGTGTCTTGGTAGGTGTCTGTTGTTGTTGTTGTAGAGGTGGTGGTGGTAGTTGTTGCGGTGGAAGTTGTTGTGATCCCATTGGCGGAGGAGGAGGTAATGATACTGGTGTGGATATTGGTGCGGACAATGGTGGGGGTGGAGGTGGAAGTGTCATTTGGGATGGCAATGGTGGAAGTGTCATCTGAGGTGGAGGTGGTGGTAGGTTATTGATGGATGGTAATGCTGGAAGTGGGATAGATCCCAATGACTTGGTTGTGGCTGTTCCAGTGGCCAACGATGGTGGCAATGGAGGTGGTTGTTTGGCAGGTGGTTTCGAATAGTTTGGTGACAAAGGTTGTTGTTGTTGTGGCGGTGGTGCTAGTGGCTTTTGGCCAAGTGATGATGTGCCTGGTGGTGCAGGCTTGGGTAATGCAGGTAATGTATGTAGCAATGGTGGTGGTGCAGAAATCATCGGACCAGCAGAGGTAGGCTTTGCCGAGCTGGGTGGTGGTGGAGGTTGACCATTGGGCTTTGATGGCAATGGTGGTAGTTTCAAAGGTGGAGGATATTGTGGTGGTGGTAAGTCCATTATCCTTATCTAAATATATATCTCTGTTTATCTGTTTATCTGTTATACACTCTCTATCTGTATCACTTAAATCTTTATCAAAATCTAAAAGAGAGATTGAGAGAGAGGAGGCAGGGGAAGGATGAAGTTGTTTATTGTCATTAGTCATGCAGTCAGGTGTGGGTGTTGCAAGAAAGGCAAACTTAAACCCCCACTTTCATATCCATCTTTCCCAAAGGACCGAGCTGGATAGCTCCAGAACTACTATCCAGCTGGCATTCAGATCGAGATCCCAGATGCATTCATAAAATCAAACCTTGATTTTTTGGGCTACTTTATCGGATTGGATTGTGGGCCTGGTCTAGATGAAGATTCATTTGATAAATCATATTCATACACACATGTCATTGGTTGACATCCATTTATTGATTAATTCATTCATTCAGACTTCACTATTCATTTAAATGAACAACATCCACCCTCCTATCTATCGCCGAAATAAAGCCTATTTGTCAGTTAACAAGCCGACACATACACACACGACAAGAACATCACACCAACGAAATGCAGAGCAGCGGGACTTTATCAGGTGTAATTACTTTATTATTATTATTTCCAGACTGGTCTCTTTAGAGCACTACTGGACTTTGTCTTGGTGGCGGATGACGAGACCGAAGTGGAGGTGATGGTCTTCTTGCTCTCGGACTTTGGTGTTGGCGGGAGATTCTGGCTACTCACAACAGCAGCAGCAGTGCTAGCCTTGGCCGATACAGTGGATGATACTTTGTTGTTGGTGGTGGTGGTGGTGGTGGTGGCATTGTTGGTGTGATTGTCATTGCTTCGGAGAATGCTGTTGCTATCACTCATGGTCACTGGGGGCTCGGCTGTGGTGGTGGTGGTCTCCTTCTTTCCTCTGCCAGCAAGGTTCATCAGTGGACGGAACAATGTTGATGTGAGTGAAGATGAGAAGCTAGATGAACTAAATGTCTTCTTCAATGATGATGGCTTCTTGGTCTTTGTCGTTGTTGTTGTCGCTGAGGTTGTTGTTGTTGTTGCTGATGTTGCTTGTGATGTGGTCTGTGCTGCTGCGGGTGTTACTGTAGTCGTGGATGCAGCCATTGCAGAGATGGAGCTGGCGGCACTGGATGTCTTGCTTCTGGACGAAGAGGAGAAGCCGAATGGACTGGGTATGGTCTTCTTTGTTGACTTGGTCTGCTCCTTGGCATGGGCCAGCAACATGGCCGAGGTTGTCGCTGTGAATATTGGTGTATTTACATTGTTGTTGTGGTGGTTGTTGGCTTGTGTTGCCTTGGATGTCATTGTTGATGATAATGATGATGATGAAGATGTGGATGTGGTGGGCATGGATGTGGAGATTGCCAGATCACTGGCTGATGAATGTGTATTGCCGTTGTTGGTAGCCTTGACTGGATTGCTATTCTGACTGGTGGACAGCAATGGTGTCTTGGTCACACTTATGGGTGGTTTGAGCTTACTGGGTGTGTTGGACTTTAGTGTGCCACTGCTGGTGGAGCGAGAGAGCAGTTGCTTTGTGGGTGTGACTGATGTCGTTGTTGATGTTGATGTACTTGTTGCTGCTGCTGGACTCTTGGTCGGTGTCCTTGTGCCCTTGGTACTGGTTGGTGTGCCAGTGGTCGTGTTGGATCTGGTCCTGGTTGGAGTGGACGACTTGGCCATGGTCTCAGATAGGATGGAACAACCCTCGGGAGGGGTATCGCTCAGCTTCATCTGTGATATCAGCTTGTCGGTATCAATGTCCATGTCATCATTCTGCTCGTCACAAAATGCCTCATCACAACTGGCGCCATTTGGAACGGTGGCCTCTGTGGTCGATGACTCGAATGGCAATGGCATGGCAAAGCCCAACTTGGCCCACATATTCCTGCGCTTTGTATCGTCGTCCCTTTTCTTTGCCTCATAGTCAGTGATAGACTGAAGCTTCTTGAACTCCTCATTATGTATCTTGTCAAAGTCTGGTTTGGACACCTTTGTCTGTTGTTGTTGATGATGACCCATTGTGGCACGCACATGTGGATTGATCTTTGGTGTTGGACGTTGTTCAATATCATACTTTGTTGCTGATTTGATCTGTGGATTCCTTTGTTGTTTCTTTGCCTCTGACAACTCCCTGTTATTGTTGTGATGGTGAGTAATTGATTGATTGATTGATTGTATCACAATGACATACTTTAGTTTGAGTATTGACATCCTCTTGCGAGTCTTGACGATTGACTCTTTCCTTTTGGTGACCAGAGTATCATTGGTCGATCGTATAGTTTCCTCAACTTCCATGATTGTTATAGGTATAGTAGTACTATGAATGTATGCTTGTTGTTTGCCTTATTATTTGTTTGTAATGTGATGGCTGATAGATCATGTGTTGTTGATCCCAACCCCATTGACGATGAACTGTTGAAGTTGTAACAACTTCAATTTGAAAAAAGGCGCCTATTTCAATTCAAACTCACAAGTTGGGTTGAGAGTGCCAATGAATGGATGTCCAGTCAATGAACCCAACAACAATAATGAGTGAACGACGACAACAACAACAACAACCAAAGGTTGTCTATTGATTCTAGTTATGATACTTTATTAGAATGCGGTCCCGTTTGATTGGGACACTTAAATAGGTTGGACGCCCAGTATACAACAAGTTGGGTTGGGAGAGGGGGAGGAGGGAGATTGTGTTTGTGTTTGGATGGAGAAAGGATACATTGGAGGCCGCGGCAGCGGCGGCGGTAATGGAGTGTGTGAGAGGTAGAGGTAGTAGTCGAGGAAGGAAGGAAGGAAGGGATGGCCATCCAGCTGCAGAGATTGTTAAGTATTGATGGCAGAAGATGATGTTATTGTTTGATTGGTGATGAGGGGGATGGCTCTGCTTGGCATGGCTGGCTGGCATGGCTTGCTGGCTGGCTGACTGACTGGCTGACTATAAGTCCGGTCCTTTAGTTGAGGAACGACTTGTTTAATAAATACAGGAGGAGGTTGATGTTTAGCTTGAAGAAATCGGTTTCGTATTCCAGCTGGTGGTTGGCCTGCATCTCGAGAAGCTCGTCCAGATGGAGCTTGATCTCAGAGACCGACGTCGTACGATAGATGAGCGTGACGTCGTAGATGCCCGGCGACTCGGACGTGAACGAGAAGAAGATATTGGAGCGACGGTCCTCTGGCACCTCGGACTCGAGGATGATTCCGTCCTTCTCCAGCTGCGAATAGCTAAACTTGAACGGACCCTTCTTCTTGACCTTCTCGGTCTTGGTCTTCTCCTTCTTCTCCTTGGACGAGGACTTGCCCTTCTTGTCCGTGCCACAGTTCTCTCTGACGTTCACCAGGTACTTCTCGTAGGACTCGAGCTGGCCCTGCAAAAAGAGGTTGTGCTCCTTGATCGCGTCGAGAACGTGGCGCAGCTTGTCCAGCTCACTGTTGGTCTTGGCAATGTAGGACTCGTAGTTGAGCATCTCGGCGACGATGTCCTTTCGCAGCTGTGAGTAGTTGTCCTCCTCCTTGAGATATCCAAAGCTGGTGAGCTGCTTAAAGTTGAAGAGGATCTTCTTGATGTGGTCGACGATCTCCTGGTTCTTGTTGACGGCGGCGTGCTTGGCCACCTCGGCCAGCGTGGCGCCCATGTCATTGAGGCCGGCCTCCTTGCCGTTGGCCAGCGATCGAAGCACTGTGAAGAGGAGATACTTGGTTTCATTGTACATTTGCTCGGGCTTGATGCTGAGCGACTCGTTCAGCTCGAATCTATTGGAGAGCTTCAGCTCGACGTTGGCGTTCTCGCTTCTGGGCAGCTGGGCTGGCGCTGGTCCCAGATCATTGATGATCAGACGCAATGGGTCGCTGGCCTCTGGCGCCAGGACGTTCATGTGCTGCTCGAGCAGACTGTGCACAAAGTACATTTCGTTCAGGGTGATGTTGATCGTGATGTTGTCGCCAACCCTGCCCAGCTGGATGTACTTGTCGAGACTGAGGTGATCGTCGAGGTTGTCCACCTTTGTCAGCTGCTCCAGGAAGTCGTTCAGACGATCCTTGTTCTTCTCGAGGAACACATTGAGCGGCTCCATAAAGAACTCCTTCACACCGCCAAACATCACGTTGTTGGCCAGGTTCTGCATCATCTTGGCGGGGTATGTAAGGTTCTTCTTGGTGTTGTTGGACAGCTTGGCGTCGACCAGCATGAACGCTTGAGGACTGACCACCGCAGGGTTGATGTAGCGAAGCAGGAAGAAACCTCCAATCAGACCGCATGTCTGGGCACGTGTGGCCGTGGGGAACTTGACCTTGACCAGCTCGCGAATCTGTTTGCATATCCAACGGATGCCGTATGGCACGAGGTCGATCGAGGCGATGATCGAGTCGATGAACTTGTCACCAAAGGTGATGAGCTGCTCTGTGCGTGGCCTGATGATCTCCTTCACGTTGTCATTCTCTGCACACTCCTCGGGTGGCGCCTTGCGCTTCAGCGGCGAGGGCTTGCCGGTCTTGGTCTCAAACTCGTTGATGTAGTTCTCGTAGACGGTGGACGGGTTGATCTCTAGCGAGAGGTCCTTGTCGTTGGTGATCTCCTCCAAGGGCTTGGTCAGCGAGTGCTTCAGGTATTGCTGGCCGGGGCCACGACGAGTGTACGTCGTCATCATTCTCGTCAGCGCAGTGTTGGCTCGCAGCAGACTGCCAATGGAGGGTG